GTAGAAAAACTGCCAGCATACAATATCCGGGTTGTTAGTGTTGGTTTTTTCTAAATAATTCCGCGTATTGATCAACTAGCGTCGCCTTCGCTATTCGTTTTTATTGTATATACATCGATGACACCAAAGCTACAACCAGTAACAGGGTCAGAAAGATTAGTCCGGCGTTTCGAAATGCGTCACCTTATATTGTCTACTACCGGTAAAACGCAATAGCACACAGATGCCATTCGAAGGACCTTTGAGAATACCGAGAGGGCCCATTTCTAGATTCGTTTTTTTCAAAGTACTACTATCTGCTTTATTAGAATATTGCTGCTATCAACTAAAGCTTGATATATTGACCTGAGGTCGAGGAAAGGCTCATATATTAATACGGCCTGTGCTACAAGACCTATAGTATCCGTAGGCAAACTATCAGAGATAGCTTTATGAAAAAACGTACTCACATAGCCTATACATGTTCCGTAGTGTAAAGGAACGCTAGACATATTTTACTTCTACACCTTTGAAGCTTGTTTTGATTAAATACACATATGTGGCCACAAAAGCGTTTGCATGTTAGTGTGTTATATCTTTATTGAGTTAAACTTCGAAGACGTTAACAATCGTTACGTACAAACTATCAAACTAGGGTTCAACATACTTTACATCAGCCGGTCAGCACCAACCGCCGCGAACGCTACGTTGGAGCTAGCAGTAGTAATGGGGTCTGCGTTATTTCGTAAATGTCATTCTTGGAATAAGTATAGTCCTAGTTTTATTTCGCAATTTTTTTTCAAATCTAGGTTATCTCTTGGTTCATGGCATTTTCGTCTCGAACACCTGGTACTTCAGGCAAAGCTGTTAAGGAATTATGTGGGTCGTCGTTGTGCTTAAGCTCAAGATCGAATCGTACAGGTCGCCTTGAAAATAGGACAATATTCCAAATAGTATTCATACGCATTTAATCATTGTGTTCGAGAATCCATTAGATAGCAGTTTTCCGCGCACATTTTCTGTATCTACAGGAGAAAGCATTTCGAAGGCTATTATATCACACGATTACTCTTTGGATGCTAGAATGGCCAAATGGCCTGTTCTACAGGACACCGTAAAGCCATACTTAGTACCTTTTTGATAAAACAGAAAATGTTACGAAGTACCACAAATTTAAAGAAGATTAGAAAATGTATATTTTTTTTTTTTATAAATGTTCAACAATTGTAAATCGCACAGTTGGATCAATGAATTTCATTGTGGCTCGGTTTTCCTGAAGCTATTTATATTTGTGATAGGGTTTAATAAGGAAGGCGTAAAGTAAAGGCGGGTTGTTTGTCAGTATGTTTTCAGTACGGAAATTTTCACAAAAGCATTAGGTCTCATAATGACACTTCGGATTAGCCATTGTCAAGAGCAAGGGTGCACATATCAGATGCATAATTATCGTTATTTTCTATTAAATTTAAATTAAAATAAAGAGATTTATCGGACCAATTTAAAAAAATCAAGGGATCGCTGGATGACTTCTCCTATTTAGGAGCGACAAAACGACAACAACAACAACAACAACAACTTAGATGATATTGTCATAGCGACCCGTTTAGGGTGACATGACCTGCCATCGCTACCGTAACGGAATGAATATATAAAAGAAATTTTTCCCTCGATGCGCTCACGAAGTGCTAGTCTAATGCGACAATAGATGTTTTTTAACTTACATTAATGCATACACATATTAATTAATTTATGAATCGAAATTAGCATTCGTTAATACGCTGCTCGTTGAGATATGAATGAAATTTTTTTCTACCTGAATTCTGTCTGAGTTCTTCGCCAACGTACGTCAGAATCCCTTAGCGCCCCACGCCCATTACCATACGCGTAACCACTATGACAGCTATTATTACAGTATATGGGTATCCTGTCTACCTGTGGAGTAGGGAAAGGTTTTCATTTGCCTATGACAGCCGAGTCTCCCGGACAAAGTAATCGTCTCCACAAATAAGCCTTTCATCTTTCTATTTCGGCGTATATTTAAAGAAAGGAAAAACAAACACACTGTCTATGAAATATCGTCTGCGTGTTCTTTTTCCTTCATAATTAAACTGCCTAGTTTGTTTTCAATGGCATACCAGTGCAGAAGTGACCTCTACATAATACCCAGTAGTATGTGGCGTGTCCTCGCGGGATAGTGAAATCCTTTAAAAGGCTCTGGGCTATCCCGCGCGACAGTTTGTACTGATCCGCCTCAAATGTCTGCCTACAGAAAGGCCTGAATAGGTACAAGGATGGCAGAAATGGTCAGCAGCAATAGGAGCAGCAACAACATCTTTTCTGCTCCTGCATCAAAAACGTTCTCTTCTTGCCCTTAGACAAAAGGCGAATCGTATGGATAAAAACTTTTGATCTGAGGTATTCGTTTCTGATGTCAGAAAGACAGCCGCCTCCGTCAAGAACAGCAGAAGCTGCAGATAGGATCCTCTTCACGAATATGAAATTTCTCGAATTTGGCGGCTATTAGGAGAATCACTCTACTGAGAGCGAGCGTGGATATTTTGATAAAATCGTGACTGTGTTCCTGCTGGTGTCTATACAACAACAAAAGTAGCAATGGCAGCGGTAGTAGCGGCGCAGCGTATCTGAACTAAACACGGCCACAGGAAGGCATATAGAGTGTACTAGCTAAACAGAAGCTGCAACAAAGACAAAAGCATCGTCCCCAGTAGCAACGGCTATAGAACGGCAGATGGACGGGCCGAGCAACTTCTAGAGATAAAGAGAACAACAGATAGCGGATGTGATTCTGGTAGTCGTCATTGGAGCCGTTGCAGTCAATCGCTTCGTTCGTGTTATTAGGTTAGGAAGGTTAAGGTAAACTTCCAAGTATGCCGAGACAGCATTTTTCGTTGTAGGCATATGTATTAATCGTCAGACTTGAGCCAAAACGACAGAGGAGCGCAGATGTAGGGTTTTGCGGCCCTCAAAAACTAGTCAGTCCAGTATATAGTCAACGCAGTCTAGAGGTGCTGCTGAAATGATCGGCAATACACGGCGCACCCGACTAAATTCGTCGGTTTCTTGATGCGGACCCGTCGCTTTTCAAGGAGATGACTTCGCGAGAGGCCTTAAACATTTAGGTGCTTGACAAAACTAAAAGATGGAAGCTTCCCTGGAAACTCGAATCTTTTCGTAAAGCTACAAATCCAAATTATCCTTAAATCGGACCGAACGTATGATAGTCCATGTGCCGTCCTTCTGGAACTCCGGTCAACTCTTGACGACAGCAGTGACGTGCTAACAACGCAGTAGAATGTTATAGAACTATAAAGAAAAAAAGTTTTGATTCATCGAACCGCCGGCCCGAGTTTAATAAGTCCTGTTTGAACGACGTAGGAACAGACAAAGGGGCTTATAGCACAATGACACAGAAAGCTAAACAGCCAGTATAATGTGCGTATGTGTAAGAACACAAAACATCATTTGTCTAATAGCATATAGATCTACGATTTGAAACAAACGTCAAAATGGCGAAAAGATAACTTTCAATAACCAAGCAGAGACATTGCGTAATAAAAAGCGCCATGAAGCGAAACGAAAGAGTTTTGTAATAAATCAAATAAATCACGGTGAATCATTTACAACGCATCTTGTATTGATTAATTATAACTCAACCTAGATAAAATAAAGATAATTAGGTAAAAGGTTATCCGGTAAAAAAGTGTCTAAACAGACCTTTGATATACAAAGTTTCTGCTGTATCAGTTTAAGATAATTCTCAATAGTTAGACCTTTAAATATCAACCTAATAAGAGGCTGGAAAATTCACTCTGGATAGATCAGAACACAAATTCATTTGCCGTCCCTGCAAGCTGTGGTTCAGAGCAATCGGATCCAAACCAAGACCCAAGGACCTTAGTGGATGGGAGCCCCAGAGCAGCAGCCCACAAGTTCTTCAGAAATACATTCATTAAAAGAATTTGATGGGATTAGAGGCTCTTGCTTTAGAATTGTCTAAACTTCAAGCGTATTAATTGATATGCATGTGGCTAGATCGTTAAAAATATGCCTACCCGTCTGGAGTATAGTTGGAGCAATATTTGAGAGAAAAATATCTTCGTCGCGTTTGCCACTAGACGTTTTGATTTTTGATTGCTAACTATGGTGGTTTGTGAAGGTGTCTATGCGCATGTGTAGTGAAAAAGATATGGCGGTCTATTATAATAACCGAAAAGCTCCGCTTTGTTGTCGTAGGCCTACTTTTAAGCGTTCCTTTTATATTGTCGGGCCAGCATACCCATCGAACGAAGCATCGCAGCGCTTGGCTGTTTTTCATACTAAGCTCCAGAGAATATAGCACCGTACCAACTGCCTACCGCTGATTAAAAAGAAACTTTTTGTCATCAACTTTTACATGTTGTTAATAGTGCCATGAAGTACTAAATGAAAGCACATATACAAGAAAAAATAGTTGGACTAAAAGATGTTGGCCCCGAAATTGATTGTCTAGCAGGTAAGCCCATGCAGGCGCCACTTCCGAATAAGAAGTACGCGAGATCATGATGGTAAGCGTTCCCTTAATTAAATCAAAGTGGAATTTTTGCAGGTTACTGCGTCATATAACTACTAGATATTTGACGCATTTCCGGGACTAGAAGCGGGTAGAAAAAAAACACAATTTCTGTATCGTCTGCTATTGTTGTATCTAATTGGTCAATTTGCGTACGAAAAAAGCTTAATCATTTTCAGCAAATTACACTTATCTGAATCGTTTTACTGTAACAATCTGAAGTTGAAATATGGCGTATGGGGACGATTTAACTATTACTGGCCAGGTCAGACCGGCCTTGGGAACCAAATCTAAAGCAAACAAGATTCTGTATGCCAATTCCGACTGGGTATCGAAAACAAGTCTGGAATTAGCTTTAGAGAAAGGTGAGGGTATCTGTCCTATTTATTGGAAAGAAGGAAATGTGGCCAATCTATTTTCATTGAAATCATCAAAATACCAAGATGATAAATAAATGGAAGTACTCGGATTAGTCATTTAATGGTAATTTACATGAAAATAAGCTATAGCTGAAGCAGGTAAAGCAGCCGATGCGTTAGCGAGGATTCTCTCAAGCGTCCATCAAGTTTCATAGATTGCTGATATCGGTCACGGAATCGATTGCCGCTGCACGGACGTAGAAGGCGTCAAGTACAAAGCAGAAAAAGAGTAATCTACTTTGCAATATCCAGAGAATCGCTGGAGCCCACATTTTCAACGTCGGTACTAACTGGGAAATCACCTTGGGATCTGAAAATCAAGGCAAAAAAGCGCCTGTTAGACAGAAACCGTGAATCAATAAAAACACAACAAGCATCACCATACGAAGCGAAAACGGATTTCATCTCGGGCGTCAAGAAGCGGCTAGGTTGCCTCGGGCCGGAATACCAATCACTTCCCCATTAACTACTAGGAAGACATGTTAACATTCAAAGTTGTCTCTTTGGCAGCGGCGGAATAAGGTCGGACATTTGCGTCCTTTTTGACCTGGCCAGATGGCTACCGGTCTACATCTGGCTGATCTGTCCGGCACTTGAGAAAGCTAGAGGTGAGCAAACAATAAGGTAGAAAAAAAGATCCGAGCTTACGAACGGTAAGGCAGAATTTCTCTGCTGGTTCATAGAAAGAGCATACAGTGCTATCAGTGACCATAACAAGAAAAACGGCGCTTTCAATAAATGAAGAAAGCCAGACGTGGCGCAAATGGACACAGCGCGTAAAACGCCCAAATAGACTGTACCGGTTGGTCCTATCTCGTTAACCCATAATGCCGTTTACAAAGATACGAGCTTAAGCCGAGTTCTACACGTAGATTGAAAAAATTAAGTGTTGCTGTTAGATTAATAGATAATCGGACGATCATTTTCGAGACCAATAATGTATTCATTAATATATAAATGAGTGAAAAAGAGTGTAACGTACTCATTCAGTAGATTCTCAATTGGATATCGTTTGGACGATAACCGGAAACAATATATGCAGGTAGTCGATCTAACAAAAGCAACTACATACGCATCAAAATAAAAAGGTACCCGATAATAAGTTCTTGATTAATTACTGGTATTGAAGGACTTGTAATGAACGAAATAATACAGTATCTTTATTCCTGTATATAGTTATATAAAATAACTAATAAGCATTCTATATTTGCCACTTTTAGTATTTTCTGTCTCTATGACGCCCTCGATTTTTATGGCGTTACGGCTTGTAGCAGTGTCGAAGACCGACACATATTGGTAGACAGTACACACAAAAGCCATTACTAATCTTTTTTTTTCTTCTTTTTTGTTTTCTATAAAAGCCTGCTTTGTTTTTTTGCCTGCTCAAGCTATTTTCATAGCAGTTTTCATTTTACAAATTTCAGTATCTACTGAAAATTTATGGCTGCGCCTATAGTCGATATCAAATAGTTCTCTCGTGATTTAAACACGGTGAACGAGCCTTAGCATTCGATCAGTTTGGTCCGTGTCGTTTGACAGAAGATGCTAGTTAACCGACGCATGTTTACACGATTTGAGCAAATTTAATCAGCTGAAGACACCATATTAACATAGATCTTGCAATAAGAAAACAGCCGAAGTTCTTCCAAAGGGGGCAATTCTTATTGATTTTAGATATAGCTCAATAATAATTACTACACTGACGATGACTGAACTAACCTATAGGTATTCAAAAGATTATGTTTACGGAAAAAACCTAGACGTGTTTTTGTACAATATCTGTATAATATGTTTTTCGCGTTCGAGATTTTTCTGTCTGAAGTGGAAATTTACGCATGATCTAAGTTGCTTACCTTCATCTTTATTTTCGATAAGGACCATAGCAACGATACCGAGCGTATTTTAGCCTCTAAAGCCGCTAAAGCAAATGGCTAACGACGTTGCTCTTTACCTGGAACCGTTCGTTTCACCAGTTACATTAGATTGCTGCCTAATACACTTAGCCATTTATCACTCTCTAAGAAACAGTCATCGTTCACCTACTTCGTTTGTTTACCTCGCGGCAAAAAACAGCATCCATGAATCAGACTACTTTGTCTCGTGTATTATGGTAGCAGTAGCGAATGCTCACCGTGGGCAGCCCTATAGACCCAGCCCAATGTAAATATCACTGAGTAACGAATCGAGAACACAATGACACACATTTGCTGAATGATGCTATGTCTACTCGCAAGGATAGAATTCATTCTTTTAGCACGAACCATACGTAAGAAGGCAGTTAGCGCACGGCGAAATCGTTCTCGTGTGAGCCTTATGCCAGGGCACCAGTAGTTTTTTATGTAAGCCACTTTACGGCCTACCCATGTTCGAGCAAGTTGCAGATTAGGATCCCTGCCTATAGCCGTCCTAATTCAAAAAAATTCAACCAAGTATTTACTAGGCCAAATAGGTGCGGTTCAAGACGATATAGTAACAAAAAAGAAAAACTTTCATTAATGGATGTGTTTATCGTAGAACCTCACGATTATACACATACAAAACCATCGCAGCTGTCGTATAATCTCTCGGTGTAGCTCTTATTTGGCAAATTTTTGTTCGCGTAGTTGCCGAATATAGATGTAGATAAACCGCACAAATTCAAGGTACGCACTTCTTTTTGTTTTCATTTATTGTACGTCTGATACTTGTGGCCTAATTCAAACGGTTTATATATATATATATATATATATATATGTTTTATACGGGAATATATGCGAATTTAAACAACGTTTCCAATTGTACCGGATGTTTGTGTGTTGTAACGTAGTGTTCTGTTGCTGTTACCGCTGTCGATCCTGAGGATGTAATTGCCTTTGCTAATACAACCAACGGCAGTGTCCTATCGTGGAAATGCGCAGCCTAGTGGCCTGTCTGCTGCCTAACTGTAACCTATGATTGGCAATGCGGTGTCCTGCGTGCTGTTGATATACCTACGTAGAGAGCTGTCGCAGCGTCGATAGTCCGAGCCGGTTGGTTTGATTTTGCTTACGCTGTTTACCATGTAACAGACTCAATGCGTGGAATAACCCGTACAGCTTTGTTACAGCACCAACAACCATCGCCATAGCGGTCGAATGCTAGGGAACACGGAACATAGAACACCCACGAATAATAGCAGATAATTAACAGTAGCGGACCAGCAGCGTAATGGCGTCCTGCACGGTCGCCAGTATCTCGTGTATGTGATTTTGCCTTGTCAAGGTCACTTCACATTTATGCCGAACGGATCCAGCGTCTGGTCATGCCTATGAGCGGACGCTAGCTGCCTTAAGCTGCTAAGAATGTGCTATTTGTCTGCCTGTTTTTCCGTCTACGTCCCTATGCCTCCGTATGCGAGACTGAAAGTGTGTGTTTTCTATAGGCGTCAGCCGTTTTTCCTCCTCTTGCTATTGAAGCTGGAGTCATTGTTGGCCTGGCCGGCGACGTTGCCGCTGCAAGTATGATTTTGCGTTTGTGGACGACACATCGCCGAAGTATTGTTGTGTAATTACAGGACTCTATTGCCCTCGAGCTGTCGGAAGGCCCGTCGTATCCGGAGCCCTCGATCCGAATGCTCTCCAGTGATCGACCGTGCTACGGGCGTGTCGATGATACCCGCTTCCACGGTGATGAGTAGATATATGTATGGACCGTTAAATGTAGCAGGAGCTGCTGAGTCTAGAATGAGTCAAAATGTACTGTAAACCATCGGCATTGAGGTAAACGATGTATCTGCTTATTGACCTCAGGAGTGCTAACGAGATTTTCACAATCACTTGATTCCAACGTTTTTCAAAAACGGCTGAGAAGTCAACAGCTCAATTGGCTATAGTTATCTGCCCTCGAAAGCGCAACATTTATTGGCGTTCGGATTTGTTCAATTTTGGTATAAAATAGAAATACTGTTTTACTGAGTTTCAACAACTGTTTGCTCGAAATAGCCGTCTGCGCTTGATACACTTATCGCAGCGTTTCACGATATTTCTACCTCAAAATTTAAAAGCTAATATTTTCATGAAATATAAGTATCCATTATAATGCATGAGAAAACTATACCAAACACGCTATCCAAATATAGTGACAAAATAGATACAAGCAATATATATATATTTATAAAAAGCAAAAAATTAAGTACCGGTGAGTGGTTGGGTCGCCGTTCTTTCGCCCCTAATCATTCCTCTTTTTCCTAAAAAACAGGCCTTTCTCAAATCTGTTTGCCAGTGCCTTTTTCCTTTTATTTCATGACTATGTTAATATTTGCACACATGAATCAGTCATCTCGAAAGTAATGAAATCTGACGTACATGTATTTGAAATATACTGTAAAATCTCAGAATTTATCTGGTAATTTTATGGAATTACGTTTAAGCAGATCAGTGGTTACATAGAACAATTACAGCTCAATGGGATAATTTTGTTATTATAAAGTATTTATAAAGTAACTATCCGCACGATCCATTATGGTGGTACATAGTGCTTAGCTGTTATATTGAACGAAACAATACTCTAGGCCGAAAACGCATACTACGCTTTGATTATCTGTGTGTCGCGGAAGTATTTTCCAACAATTCACTCGAGATCAAACAACAAATCGGCATCTAACTGTGAGCTTCATTTTTGGACAAGTTGTTATGAACTATAAACGTGATCTCATTTCTGCTCGTAGGTATGAGCCCTTTAATTGATGAGTAGGTGCATAAAATTTATTAACACTTTATGAGCCTTGCTTCCATAACAATTTGGCCCTGGACTAAGAGTTAGTGCAATGTAATGACACGCCCTGTGGCTTTGTCTCCCGCCTCTCTCCATATTTGACCCGGAATAAATTTTTCGGTCCCGTCACAAAGCTCTCACATGCCCCCTTGTGGCGCCGAACATCCGTCGAGCGTTTGATCTCCACGGCGACGATGGCTACATACAGTATTCAACATTAACAACAACGCCCTATATAGTAGAGGACGCTAGCATCCTCTGCGTCGCTGGATAGACGTTAGTACCCGTGTCACAGCCTTGCAGAACGCTGTTTACGAATTTACTCTTCTAACGATCGTAAGCAAGGAGGGCATCATACGAGAGCGCAGATATAATCTAAGTTGGACAATAGAATGGGTGTTATTAAAACACTTGCCGGATTCTCGACAGAGCCAACCTTGACGGTAGCAGCGTCGAACTGTTACTATTTCGGCTATGAATTTTATTTTCGAGCTGGCACCGTAGTCGTTGTCTACCCGTTTTTCACTAAGGTGTAATGGCACGAAAGCTAAAACATATCGTCATCCGAGAGACGAAGCAATGAAGAACATAATTTGTTCAGGGGGCAAGCAAACCTTGTGGTTTTCTGTAACCACATGATCAATCGTCAGACGATATGTATGCGGGAAGCACATAGCCGACAAAGCCCATGCGCGGATAAAACGATGTCGGAAAATACTACTTCGTTTCATAAAGGATCAATAACATTGTTAGGCTACGTATTCGCGCCTATTTGGTTCTGTGAAGGTATGTCATCGACTTGACTGCGCATCGTTTAGACTCAACTATCGATGCTATGAAGTGGTATCTAGATGGCTGGCTGTATGACTCGGTAACGGAACTTCAAATGTAGCATCATTAACAGATTCACTGTTTCTGAGAAACACACGATGGACGATGACTGTTTTAGGTGATCGACAGGAGATTTAAAACAAACACATCTGCCTATTAGAAAACGAATTCCTTGCTATTCGTCCTCGGGACCCCTTGATCGTTTGACTAACAGATAACAGCTAAAAATATTTAAACGATTTTTTAATAGATTTCTCTCTCGTTTTGGATTCAAGATACTAGCTGCTTTGATTTACCAGTCCATTATAGTTGCCATTGCATCAGCTGATATTTGATCTGTGGCCTAGGTTTCGGCTTGTAACCTTCCTCAAAGGATTCAATCAGGTTGACCAGGTTACTAAAGAGTTCAACGTCTATGAGCGTCCAAGGTTTCGTCGAGCTTCTAACTCAACGTTTTAGGAGCGTAATTAAAAACAACATTTATCTATTTCTGAGTTCGGTTTCCCGTGAAAAACCAGCGCGCTAATGAACTGTTTCCGTTTACCAGTTTCTGTTGCAGTCTAGTTGACGACCGACCTTAGTAACACCGATCACATCAATTTAAATCACTCTACCAAAGTCACCCGTATTCTTGGCTATTATTTGCAGTTACCCCTGTTATGATGAAGTTGTGTAAATATTAAAATATGCCCCCTGCATTTCGGGAACGACTAATAACGTCACTATACTATTACTAAGTGTTAATTTGCCTAATATTTATTTAAATTACTATAATAATACCAAATTTTATTCATTTACAATGAGACTATTGTCAGTCTAAAAGGTTACATATTAAAGAAATTCTTACTGATAGGAAAGTGTATATTACTTTCTTTTTGTAGTAAATCTATTATATTTTAAAATTAAAATAATAAAAAGGAAATTAAAACATTAGTGAAACTCCTATAAACTATATATAAGTAAATTTTTAGCTCTTTTTTATGGAGTTAAAAATTTACTTTAGGTAAATTAATATTGTAATTAGTTATAGATTCATTAACAGGAGATACGTTTTGTTATTTTAATATGAAAGTATGTTTTAAAAAATATTTAAAATTTAGTAAATAAGAAAACATGTTTTTAACGAGTTTATAAGGATTATTTTGTTTATTTTTTTTTTATTAATCTGATCATTTCCAACGCCGAAGGCAGCCTCAAATCTAGTAGTTACAAATATACAAAATGCACAGCTATTAGCTTTATATTTTGTTGATACTCGCAAATAACAGCTTTTTGTTAAAGGCATTAGTCTGACTATCATTGGAAGCTCTCCTAACCTGTGAGATACACGATCCTATGAAAAAATGCTTAGACATGCCACTACTTGTTCCGGGGAAAGCAAAACGTACTGGTGAAGGGCTTAAACTGCGTGGAACTCGCTTAGCCACATGCTCGTAGGTTATGCAACATAATTCCGTCGTATTCAACCACTTGTTTCTGCAACCTACGTTGATGATGGCTCTTATGGGTGCGCTGGAAAATATCTCGTTCCCACATTAAAATTGTTCATGCACGTCTTAACTGCGGTAAGGGCTTTATTTATCTGCTAAGCTCCGTATCAAAATACCTTGGAACTAAAGAATGGCCAGCCATATAAGTCTTTGAACCTTGTTCATTAGTAAGATCAATGTCTTATAAGGTAGAGGAAAGTTCGCCTTAAAGCAAGTTGCAGATCCTTCAATGGAAAGATGAGCCACGTTAGAACACGTGAAATCGTTGGACTTTACTTATTCTATCAGTGTTCTTATACATGGAAATCGCTCAAGACACCGAAGCAATCCCGGTGCGCGCCTAACTGAAAAGTGATTCTGCAGGATGGGTTGGAATACTTTTTTTTTAAATATTTTTTAATGTTTTAATAAAACATAAGAATTTGTTATGTTTTTGCCTTCAAGAAAGAAAAACTTGCAGCGCCCATACACTGTGTCTATTTCAGACGAAGCACATACAGGATCAGCTCAGAGATCCAATTCGATATATTTATGGGAACAGAAATTAGGAAAAAGCTATGAGTATTATGATTCACTGCTATGCTAAAAAGGACAGTACTTTTTATATGGGTACGGTACCAATATCGTTTTGATTGAGCATATATATATATATATATACTAAACATTACATATATATATATATATATATATATATGCAATGTACGAGCGTTAACACGAACGTCACACGATTTAATTTTGTATAGAAATAAACAGCATATATATATATATATATATATATATATATATATATATATATATAAAGCAATATTAACTCAAAAGACGCTTAATTATCGTTTAAGAACTCGTCGACCTTAACATTTCCCATATCATCTATATTAAATCCATAAATGTTTCGAGACATTTTTCTTTATTACAATAGAAGCTAGTAATATTGGATTAAGCTTATTTAAAGTTATTTGCAAAAATATAGCCTAGATCTTGCAGGACACGACTCATTGAGCTAAGTACTTATAACTTGGAATATAATGCTTCAGAGGAACCGTGGCAGAGAAATTTGGATACTTTCTGAGCTAACCAGGGGCAAAATCGCTATTCATGTTCTTCTTCAAATAATCAGCGCGTAGTTTCTAAATAGAACACGGATCAAGGTACAACTAACACAGTAGGGGACTGGAGACTAAACGCTAGCTATCACATAATAACTTTCCGTTATAATGGAGCGTTTTGTGTCGTGTGTTAATATACGTTATCCCCTAGTGCATATTTTACATCAAATAATAGGCATAATTACCCTACGCTTGCGGACATAAACCTACGTTTGCCAACTAGATATCGTACAGGGTTCCGTAGATCTTAAGACACGATCTTTTGATTATGAAAATCGCTTAATTAAATTTGCTCAGGCAGTAAAAAGGTAGATACGGCATCGGTTTCAAAAATATTTAATCCCAGTTCCGATCTGCAGCTATGACTCAGTGATATTTTCAAGTCTGTGAATACCGATGTTGACGGAAAAAAGACTTCACTTTCCATTGCCGGTCGCCTAATGCAGCCTGATCGGAGTAGATCACAATTATCGCGTATCAGAAATATTGACAGCGAGCCGAATGGTCATCTTGAGGCACTTGGAGAATTATTTCCATTATATAGAACCATATTCGAGCAAGCTATCAAAGTTTTCTCAAAATAATACTGTCTATTTCTCAAGTCCCTGCAGAAAAACAAGATGAATTTATCTATTTTTAATCACTGCTCCAGTTTCAAAGAGCTCGCATCTCTTCGAGATATATTGTACTGCCCTGTTTTTTGCCTGCCTCACTTTTCCTGGCATTTGGATTACGCCTTGTTTACACGGACCGTTTATCTCATGTTGTTGGCAGACCTGATGGCTTCATGGACACATCTCTAATGAAAGACAAAGTCCACTAATTGACTACAGTAGCACTTAGAACTACTCGCATTTTCAGATTTTTCTATTTCATACCTGAAATACTATATTCTTGCTGGATTTGCCCAGCATGATAAGCTTGTCGTGATATTCGTCACTCTGGATGCTAGGAGATGTAATTTAATGAGAACAGATCAGATTTGATCAGACCTAAAAAGACTGAACGGAGTGATAAAAGGGTCGGGGAGGCTCTGATTAGAAGGCGGATCGAGTAAGCGATTTCGAAGACTACTACGTAACATTCTTTTGACATCAACGGACGTCTTACCCAAGTTAGCTGCTTAAAACTATTATTATATTAAAAAAAAAAAAAAAAAAAACACTACCTGACAAAGCTGTCATTGCCCTGCCGAGTGCGTACTCAGAAATCGCCTTGTATAATTATTATCTTTTACTAAGCATTAGTCTCGTGTTGGACACGATACGCTCGACAAACATCACAGATCTTTCTCGTACGGAACACAATTCAGACGACTATTAGTAGTAGTTTATCGCAACTAGATACCGATAAATGAATTCAGTTTTTGCAATCAGCTGCTGGCTTACGGCAGCAAATCGACCTTATTTGGTATGATAAACGCAAACTACTTAGACAAGTTCATCTACTATACTTAAATCGGTCTGCCATATAACTATCGCGCTATGAGTCTTACCTTCGCACATCATAATTCTACGTCCAAATCTGGTTTAATATACCATTACACTGACTTCTCATATAAGACCCACCTTCCGGCAGCCCAACGTCTCCTCGTCACGTTAACGACTGATGCCTATTGTCAACCAGGTTGAGGCCCGCTTGGTGCGTACAAATGAATAGAACACGGCTATCCAGGTCATTACCTCGCCAGATGCAAACCATAATGAGTTTGTTCTATGCGAGGTCGAGCGCGTGGTGGGTACTTGTCAGATAGGAATAACGTTATTAACAGCAATAGTAAGTTCAGCTGCTTTCGTTAAACATCAGATCACCTAAACCTCGCTACGATCAGCCCAAGCGTCTGAACGAGGGTTCTAGATAGTGACGATAGATGTGTAAATAGTAAGGAAACCCAATCCTGTATCAGTCGAGCAAAAGATTCATAGAAGACTAGAAGGTCATGCTTGAAATTATTTTGGCAGTTTAAATAACAAACAACCTTGTAATTGGCTGCATTTGAAAAAAAAAAACGTGAATAAAAATTACGCTTGTGTGCAATATACACCTTTTTTTTCCAGCGAATCAAGCAAGTGATTAATATATCCTTTAAAATGTAGACAATGTAAAGCCAATGATATTTTCCTTTAAATGTTCGGCTCTAGCAGCCTGCCTTATCAGCTTTGGAGGGGATGATTTCCGTGCAAAACCACTCCTTGTTACTTCAGATCTGTACCGCAGCTTTGGAGGGGATGATTTCCGTGCAAAACCACTCCTTGTTACTTCAGATCTGTGCCGCAACAGGAAAACGGTTAATGTTTAATGTCAAGTGGAAATAGCTGTGTCCGGAAAACGCCCGACTATTGATAAGGTGTATTTTGGCCAAACATTTTCTGGTCCGCAATATGCTATTGGAAGAAGTGAGAGCAATGATAAGTACAATATCATCCCTGACCTAGCTAGGAATAAAAACAGCAATATTAAACCTAGGTTCAGAAAGTTTGGACTCGAAACTCAAATGACTTGTCCAGAACCGCGGAAGTCTACGTTTTCGATCGTGGCACCCAAACGAAATGAACCAATACAGCTTCATATTTACCGTATATAGTTCGGGTGGTATTTTAGAGGAGCAGGATAGCGGCCTTAAGGTCCCCACCCTCACGTTAGAATCATACCTGGAGCTTACAAATACGTTGGGGGGTACTGAGTTTCAAGGATTATTTCAATACTCGACGGGCTTGAGTGTTTTAGCAATCTCACTCAGTTTTACTCAACTAACGGACCCAGAGGTAGTCATATAATCGTGTATTGCCATTGTGTTTATTAATGGAGTAGTTCTAACGTGTTATTACCTGTAACCAGTTTTCACTTTTTTTTTTGCGTATTTGTGCCTAACGTTGCATGCAACTACAGGACATCTTAAACTACCTCTCACATTTTGCACAGAAATTCATGCAAATGTAGTTTCCGCCTTCAACGCTAGCCTTCAACTGATGATGGCATTTCGCATATCGTATAGACACTGTTTCACAGAGATCAGAGACAGAAAAAAACACTCACCATTATATTCGCAAACAAGAGAGACCCGCACAAACCGTACAACGCAGCACATACAAAGGTAATAGTCCTGAAGTGCTGGATATTATCTAAGTCATTTAGCAACAAATCCTAACAAAATCGAGTATGACCCCTCTGGTGTCTTTTTCGTGTACGTTCTGTCTTCTTTCTCACTGCCTGATATATTTTCGGCCAACTTAGCTTCTCGCAGTCGGAGCAACAGGTGATTAGCTTCGTTTTCCCACTCCATTTAGCTGATGACAGTTGCTGAAGGGGCTAGGAGGCACACCAGCTAGCGCAACACTGTTCGGCCCAGCGCCCCTCGCCAGAGGGGCGCTCACGCTCAATACTGCTAGAAGACTCAGTAAATTCGGCGCCCCTCAACAACAATAACAGCAGCAGTAGCAGTATTAACGTCTTTTACATCACCGATAAACGAGCCATGTCGAGCTAACCTACTACGTTATCTTGCAGGCAATGACGCTCCTCCATCTTTTGAAACGCCGATTGACCATTTCTACGAGTAGGCTCAAGTTCCACTCAACATGCAGGTTCATGAATATAAAAGCATTTCGACAATCGCGTAAACTCTGCAATCATATACATGGAAATTGTGCGCGAATATAGGGATCTGCTTTTGAACATATTTCTTTTATACTTGGAGCATCGCATATCAAATATTATGTTAACAATAACTTGGATTAGGTTTAATTCTTTAATAGGTGGATAATGCAAAACAGTAAATTCAGAACGAACCTAAACGGTGTGAATTTACCTAGAGGTGAAGAAAGAATTGACGTCCCGGTTTATCTCTGCGCAGTGAACTTATCCGTAATTTTAGCTCGAGCCATAAAAAACAGCTATTAACAACCTTCTAATGGTTTAGACACGAAATAGCATGGCTCCGTCTTTGTCATTATATATAAAAACATATTATGCCTCAGTCATACTTTTCATCGACTTGTTAGATCGCTGCCGTGAGGGATGCGAGAAAATTTTGGAAACGTATCATTATATTACAAAGGCGCTATAGGCAAACCCTTAGGTTATTTTTTTTGTTTAGAATTCCTTCGTGCAGTTTTATGCTATAAGCAAACCTGAAATACATTTATCCTTGAGCTGTATTTAGCCAACGGTTGGATTCAGAAATGAGCTATCTAGTCAATGACTAGAGGAAACTCAAAGCACTCACTTTTTATATATATATATATATATAATCTACACACCAATATGCTGGCTGTTCAAAAATACAGTAGCATCTATTTAAATAACCTAAATAATAACTATCACGAACGATAGATGTTATTATTCCCTAATTTTTGGTGCTTGAAATGTTTTCTGTCCCACTAAAAGGTCAAATGCGCTTGACGAAAGCTACCTTCCCTGTAATAAATATTCACCAATGATGGATAATTTGCCCGATTACATTCAAACAAACTTTCCAAGTTTGGGTAACTTCTAATATTGTCTGCTGGCAACGCAAATGAAAATAAGTTAGACCTTAATAAGCTGCGTTATCACATATACAATATACAAATACCACTGTATGTATTACTGTCAGTATATCTAGTTTCATCATCTTACATAGATTTCTGATCAAATCTTCCATTATAATGTTGTTAAATAAACGGATTACTAGACTTACATCTACCTCCACTTTCAAATATGACTATATCGAAGTACGTGGGAGACAGATACGCGCCGATTTATGGTATGTTCGAAGTTTAATGGAAACTTAAATGAAAACTAGAAGTTTAACGTAGACCATTAAGTTTATTTGAATTAGATATTAAGATGAGTAGCTATATCAATTTACTTTAGATAATTAAGTGAGTCCATTAAGTCATCTAAAATGCTTTACCTGTTATTGGTAACACCGATACCATTATTCTAATGTGCACATATGCTATCTTAAGCTAAACCGACTGTTGGAACAGGTTGATAACCTATTTATGTATATAGATAGGCTACACAATAAAAAGAAACGAGGTAATATAAATTTTTTTATATTCTTTGCTGGGGTAAAGCATCTTACTTTTCAAGCCGCAATATCAATGATCAGATAGATTAAAAATCGACATTACGGGCCAAGCATTACATTTACTGAAAATATCAATCATTAAAACAATTGCTGCCGTCTCGTATATATCACAATTTATTCTCATTTTTGCAAAATATTCGTTTTTGTTCGGGATAACACCTTTAATACTATCAATTTCAGTAGCTGGCGTTAGGGTTCCTGAATGATACGTTTAGAAGAAATGACTAGCAAGCATGAAGTGGTCAAGTGCCATAGAAATTAATTTTTGTATTCCAATCTGATCCACCTTGAATTATTAATCTTCAGTAATTTTTAAGTTCCACATGGTCCAATTACCGCCACTAATTGTGCTATGATGTGTTATATAACTTTGGATTCTGTTTAGTTGACAAATAAATGATCTTTTTCACTAAACGCTAAATTACCTCATAACGTAAAATTTCAAACGGAATTTCGGAGCATCTGACCATTTTAAGAGAGGGAGATGGTTGAGGGCTACCAAATAGTTTTATTATTGTATGTTAGTGCGGTATCAACCTTTGACAAATATATTTGTTTATTACTCAGATTACTGCAAATGTTATTCTCGTGGCTATTTCGTTCTAACTATCAATTTGTCTCCTCTTTAATTATTTAGCTTTCAATTATGCTTAAAGGCAGCTTAACACCGAAACTGTGGGATAGATAGAGTTCCATTTTGTCTAGCTACATATAGAAGACGTACAATTTTCTAAATATATTGTCGTTAACAATACGGCTTAAAGATAAACTTACGCGTATTTGAAAGGGTGAAAAAGTGTGTTTTTTTTTTGTTTCGTGGTCAGAAATTTTAGGCGCAAACTAAATATGCAGATTCTTGAGACGATTCAGCGTTACTTTTGCCCTGTGTGCCACTGTAGTTTGTCGGGCCTATCGTATTGAGTTTTTCTATGGCGTCAGGTACTTGGAGTTTTTACAGCTGCCTTCTCAAGTCAGCAAATGCTATACCTAGGCAGCTCAGAAAATCACCAAAGATCATCTCAAAAGCAACGTTTAATTTTTTCGAAGATAACTTGTACCTATTTAGAGAGGAGAGAAACCAAACAATTTGCAAAGTACTTACCTAGAAAACGGTAAATATTGCTCAAGTTACTACAAGGCCTTTACGTACTTTGCTTAAATCGGACAGCTTTCAGAATAGTTTTATGAACACGAAAAGCTAAACGTTGTCTGTACTTTTGTTTGCCTATGACATGGTGCCTGTATCTAGAGCCGGGAACAAGCCAAGCTCAACCGATTTTACCGACAAGTGGACTAAATTTCATTTCCCGATTTCGCCTCAAGATAAACTTGGCCTATGAAGAGGACGCCGAATAAATAAGAGATACGGCTTTAATTAGTCACAAGGTACACGAAAACAACGAAATTGATAGCACTGCTTTTTTGTTTGAATGGGCATATAATATTTCCTTAGATCCTAATCGGGGATAGATGTGTATTTTTCTTTAACTTTATATAGTTAGCACTTTTACATACGATACGGCAATTGTCTACGTTAATATAGCCAATAATACTAAATTCATAACGCTATTCATCGAAAATTATTTTTCTAATTCAGAGGAAATCGCTATTAACGTAAAATATTTTTTATTTTAGACAAACGAAGATAATTTACAATATCTAGCAGTGAAAAGGTTGTGGATTAGTTCTTATGCAGCTATAAAATTTAGGCTTTATTTGGAGAGTTCTATATTTTTAAAAATTTAATTATATTTTTGTTCTTACGAAATCCTTTTTTCTTCTACTAATGAAACTATGTGTTTATGAATATGATGTCATATGAATAATCGAAATAAACTGAATTCACAGTTTTCTAGGAGACCTATGAGTTCAGCAATAGTTCTCGCAGACAAATTCGATCGATCTAACATAGCACACTAATCATTACAAGAACCTCATCTTTTAACCGTGTGACCCAGATTGCCGTTCTGCTTGAATGGGCATTTTAAGGAAACACTTGAAAAACCTTATGCGTAACTTTGCTTTTAGTAATCAATATCCATGTGAGTAATGTTGACACAACCGTTTAAAAGCTCTGGTGGATCCCAATACTAAAGTTGTCATCGATCTCTAGTTAAATCTAAATAGCTAGTTCTCGGAACTATTCAAACATGTAAAATATTACTTTGTTAGCTAGAACCTTAACATTAACGTAACAGGGCGTCTTCTCAACATTAGCTGTGAAAGTTTTGCACTTTTTGTTTTAACAACAACACTGTTTCAATTACAAGTTTGTCGGGAAGGTTTGGTTTGAAAATCTGTTATAGCTATAAATTACGGTATCTAGACACTTGGATATACCTGGATTTGTTTCGAAGTTACATAAGGTTTCAAATATGCAGAGCTTCCAATTTTTTCTAATATACTTCTGCTTGGACACGTGGCCCCTATTACATGCATACATCACTAGATCTTCCGTTGTAAGCCATTCGTTACCCTATAGAACAGTATCGTACACGAATCTATATTAGCTTGATTCCTCCACATCTTTCACTGTCTCTCTCTTCTTTCCTATGTTACTGTTCATACATGTACATGCTAGAGTACGTGCATATCTATACGTACATATCTGTCTTATATATATATATATATATATATATACCCGAGTATTATTTTAAAAGTCATTCTTGTCGATGTTTAGCATATAACACTTGTGGCGCCGTCTGGTGGGTATTTCTAAAAGTAAAAGCTCATCTCCAGCTTCAGATCGGACGCATGGCAGAGAGAGGGCGCGTCCGTAGGAGTCTACACTGCCGCGAATGACAACAAGAACATCTAGCCCGACTCTTATAGTTCTCTGTTTGTTTCAAACCCTGTTTTCTCAAGCCTTCGACCCCTTACTTTCGCCACCGAGACCTCCACGCTTTCGTTGCAGCTGGGAAAACCCTTACCCACCAAAGCAGGAACCATCGCCCGCTACCACAGCAACTAAAGACGCTTGCTCCGACAGCAGCGGCTGCCCCCAGTGAAAACACGTTCTCTTATTGTTATTTCGAAATGACAATCGTGGTCTTTATTTCGCAATATCATATCACAGGAGTTTACAGCTTATTTACAGACGGGTCAACTTGGTTACTTAACAGGTGCGTGGTGTTAGCATTCACGCGGGTTCGGTCGTTATAATTAGATACAAAAGTGCCCTATTGATTGGCGGTCACATTTGAATCGTCCGCAGGGCGGGACGTTAGCGGCTGTTTGATGTACGATGCAGGTTGGTCATTTTTCTTTCTCTTATTTAGACTTATTTTTCGCTGTTATTTAGCCAGCGTACGATATTTGCGATACATATATTTCGCAACGGAGATATTATCATTACCGGTACTGTCAGGATATAATATGCAGAATTGAGGAGTCGAACATGCTGGAGGCTTATTAATTAGCATCTCTTGACTCGCACAGCGCTGAAGGCTTACTGTTTTCTGCTTTTTTTTTTGTTAGTTAGTGCTTTTACTGGTTAGTAACTTTTATTTAAGTGGTTGTCAGTCTTAATAGTCAGTTCATGCTTGGTGAACTACCAGAGAGCTTTGCTTCGATGGGGAGATATAGCGTTCGGAGAAAGCTTTCGCAGCCGAGAATCCGGAGTCGCGCATAGGCAGCGTCCTCCGTCTGAGCTGCAGCACACCATTGTATTGTTAGTATGCATGTCCTCTATATAAAATACTATGAATGGTGCATTCAGTAGCGCATTGAATGAAATCAATCAGCAACACGTAGCGAGCGGCACCAGCTGTCGGAGGACAAACACCCCGAAGGTTTATTAGTTATCCAGTGTCGCTCCGAAGAGCGAATCTGTTGATACCTCGCTGGTGCTATTGCTGGATAGATGAATGGACTGTTCTGTTTATCAACTACATCACGGGCTTATTTTGGCTGCCTATTTCTTTGTCTGTCTTTCTTTTTGTCCCACGTATATTAACGGGACTATCTCGAACGGCGGCTAAAACTGGATTCACTCTGCACGATCGCTAATCGGAGCATTTCAAGTTCGAGCGTTATTCAAACATGGAAAGCTGCGAATTGTATTTACCCTGTTTGCTCACATACTCGTGATGCTTTTTTGCACGAGCTAAGGCGCAATAGAACAGGAGTCCTTCGATTGCAATAGGGATCCAGACGTTGCGACAGCATCAAGACTCAGAGGTTTACATCCCAAACATACATTAATAGTGGGTCGTCATGATACCATGGCATGTGCCATACAACTGTCGTTGCTGGTGTTGATCACAGATCAATATGTTGATATTCTCCTTCCTATTGTACTCTATATCATATGGTATATCATACACCATATGGTTGAGGTTTTTCTTCAAGGGTAAATAAATTGCCAAAAGCGGTCAATTGTACGCAAGCAAAGACCACTGATTGAGTCATTGTGCCTGCTTCGTTCATGGATTCATTTCGTTTTCTCTCCAGTTTGTTATTATTTATGTTATCCTTTGTTTATATACCATCTTTATCGTTGTAATATGAAAAAGTGCCTTTTGGCCGTTGGAAGAAGTCACGGAGACATCCACCACAGTCAGTCGTATCATTATAGAACTGCTATGGTGACAATTGGCGGCTCATTGAGCAAAAAGCGGGCTCTTGACTGCTGGACTCGATGACATTTGTTTCTAGGTGTGCGTGTGTATTTGTATGTATGACATAGTGATTATATTAAATCAAGTGGGATCAACAGGGTTTTTAGTCAATCAATCAGTCTACTAACCGACAGAATATAATCCGGCCGATGATGAGACATCATCGGTCATGGATCATAGAAAAGAGTTCAATGGCGATGTCCTTTGTCGATTGTGTTGTGACAGATCCCTAATGGGGTTTTACATAAAACTGCGTTAGCGAACACAATAATCTATTCACTCATTATACTTTCCAGTGACAATTTCGCTAGCGGTGTTTGTCTTGCCTGTTGCCCCCTCTTGTTTCAAACACCTCGAAGTATCGGTGATGGTAAACGTGAATGATTGACTGATCAACCCGATCATCGATCATCTCATTGGTCCGGATCTGACTCCTACAACTTTTCAGTTGATGTTAGCTTGTTTGATTTGTTTCTAGTGCGAAACAAAGGCGCGCGTGTTGGGTTTATTGGGGTGTGTTGATACCAAATATCCCTCACACGGCATGGACGTACGCTCGGTTCACTAATGTTGGATCTACTTCGTCCTTGGCAGCATCAGGGGGATCGTACGGCTCACGTCTGTTGTGACTCACTTCTTGACAGGACCACTGGTTCGCTGCCACTGATCGTTTGTATTATTTCGTTGGAACTGGACGATATATATTGCACTTTGGTTCTGATTCTGTATTCTGGTTCTTTTTAGTAACGGTCAATAGTTAACAGTTATGTTCAGTCAATATTGTTTCAATATTATATTGTTAACATAAGTAACAATGGATTTCCAGCCCGAATTTCCAGCTGTAGTCTGCACGCGGATAAACTAGCTGAGATGGCTAGACCAGACGAGCAACGACAACCATTGAAGGTTTAATAGCAGTTGGTCTTTTTTTGAGTGAATTCAGCTACGATTTAGCTCAGCAGCAGTAAAACTCTTTCTTTTGATCGGAAACAGATAGATAAATCAATTCGAAATGCCGTTAAACTACTAAACTTAGCAAAGTGTTCGCCATTTGAAAAGCCGAAGTCTAACGGAACTTACAGGCGATCGGTATTAGGATTTCTCCATGTTCATAAAGCCAATTATTAGTTACATGTTTGCAAGGTGTAATCGCAGGTTATATTAACAACGGACCCAGTAACTCTGGCGGCGCATGCCCACGTCTGAGAATCGCAATCGGGACCAGTCGAAACCTCTCGGAAGAGCCCTGCTTGGCAGCAGCACTCGATTTTCTTTTTCCCCTGCGGCTGGACAGACGGGCTATGAGATACCCCTTATGAACAGCATCAACCAACGTACTGTGCAATACTCTTCCTGGCGAGGAGCCGACTGGCTCCGAACTTCCAAAAAGTTTTTTAACAGGCGAGCGCTCCGCGGTCGAACGCCAGCTGTGAAAAACAGAGCGAAATAAAGCAAAATTCGCTGTTAATTAATTATCATTGCTAATTCGGTATCAGCGTTGAGTGCACGTCAACACAGCATCAGAGGATAATGCTGAGCTATTCACGGTAATAGACGTCTTGATTTCTGGTTTCCGACAATAGCCTATTCTTAAGAACCAGCTCGAGTTTGCCGACGTAGCAGCAGGCGAAAATGCGCGCGCCGGCAGAAGCCTCAATGGAGGTGGCAGCGATCGGCAATATGTATCGATATTATCGACATGTCCATCATGTAAAATGAAGAGACGACTTCACATATGTGTTCGGGGCATGTTTGAAAGGTTCTACGCTGAGGCATTCAGTAGACGTCTATATTCGTAGCATTAGATCTTTTGACTGATTCGACTCCACCGAAACCTTCGACTGTTAAGCTCCTTCGATAGGTGGATGATAAACGATTGATGTCTTTTGTCGTATAAAGGAGCCGCGTTATGGCACGGAACTGTTTGACAACTGAGCAACGCTTCAACGAACGTGAAGAGATCAGGACACCTCGATTTTGGATTAGTTTTTATTATTCGTATAAGGGTTTTTTTTTTTTTTTTAGGTCAGTTATATGGATAGCTATTCGCATCGCAGTGGTTGAGCTGCTGGTATTTAGCGAGTGCTTGGATTGGTCACATGGAATTTGTTTGGAAGAGATCAACACTACAAATATACGGTGGCCTTGCCATTTCATATAAGACCTTAGATAGTAAGACGAAGTACGCGTACTTATTGTGTATAGATGATATTAGATGTTGTAATACTTTACAGATAAAATGCAGGCAATAGATACTTAGAAGAGGTTTTCTCAAATAATGGCGGATTTTCTGTTTTCCCTTCGAATGAATGTGTGAGGTATTGGTTCGAAGAATGTTCTTAGTAATATTGTTATTATTATAATTATTATTATCATTTGTATTATCATAACTGCTATAAATATAGTAACAAAACGCGGTTTCGCGACGTCAAAAGCTTTTCAGCATTTCACCGCCAGCCGCCGATAACTCGAATTGACCTCTTCCTACCGACCTGCCGACCAATTGGAAAAAATTTTCATTGACTTTTCATTAACATTTTTTAGCTGATTTGTTTGTTTGTTTGTTTGTTCAGAATGCTGTTTTGAGCAGCCTAATGACCACTCAAGATAAGATATACACCCGTATATATATATATATATATATATTGATAAAGTCGGTAATCGGCTAACGAGGCGGCAGTTCTCTGCTGTACGTACATTTTACGCTGACCCTTACTTAAAATTATGATTGGAAGTACCCGTCTGCAAACGACATGATGGGATAAAAAAATTAGCTCTTCATAAAATCGTTTTGTTCATTGGATTAATTTAGTCACTTAATTAAACCCAACAATAAACCTTATGCACTGCATTTATTATCACACAACTTGTCCCTTAGTTCAGCTGGGTCGGATTTACGGAGGTGGTCAATTTTACCGGAACATATATATATATATATATATAGATATATAATGTATACTACTGGCCTTTTCTACGTTTGGAGCCGGCTGAGCTTCGGCGGGCGTTCGAGAAATGCGACCAGAAGTTCATTCGTGATCGTGTGTTCCTGTTATCGCTGTTGTTGTTGTTGTTGTTGTTATTATTATTGGTTTTGGTTGATGTTGGTCTCGTACATGTCTACTGCTGTTGTCATTTTCGATGTTTACTTTTTGCTTGTTGTTATCGTTATTAGAAATGTTTTTCATTTTGTTATTGTCGATCTTGTCGAACCCTTATGGTAGTCTGCTTAGGTTGTTGCTGTTGTCGTTGTCGTCGTCGCTGTCATTGTTGTTGTTATTGTTGTTGCTGTTGTTGTTGAACCAAAACGAGGTTGCTAGTGGACGTTTTTTTGTCGTATATGTATGTTACTTTAGGTCGACGAGCTGTTCTTACGATGGGTTCTCGCCCTCTCGCCTATTAGGAAAGAATACTTCTTTGTTAGGTTCTGAAAGTCAAGTCCCTGTCATTGTTTGTATCGGTAGGTAGCATTAGTTCCCTCTGTTGTGCAGTGCCGTTTATATTGATTATCGTTTTATCTGTTGCTAATTAGATTAAAATTGTTCGTGTTTGGAAAAGCGTTTTGTCTTGCAATTGTAACATCAATATATTATCACTTTGCCAACCTTTGCTTGTGTGCGTGTCGCTTTTGTTGCAAACGTTCTTGGCCAACAAGGTGGCTCAGTACGACGTTTTCGGTAAGTTTAAAAAAGTGCCCACTGATTTCTCCCTCACTTTCGCAAATGGTTGCTCTGTCAAATATAACTTAACGGTTAGAAACAGTTTCGCGTTGAAATTTAGTTGATTGAAAGAGGTTTCTATCGTTATTTCTCTGTTGGTAGTTATATAAAAAGGAGAGAACCAGAATGTATCGCAAACGTATCCAGAATGATAACGATCCCGCTGGGCATATTCCTAATGTCAATGCAAATGTCAATGTGCTTTAGTTACTTTGTTATGCACCCTAAATAGTCGATATACTTTGTTGATGTCCTTTTACTCTTGAGTTGTAGATGTATTTGCTTCATTTTCGCCGTAAAAGTTCTTGGTCGAGGTCACTTTCTGTATGTTTGATATAACCTGTCGTTGTTGTTGCTGCTGCTGCTGCTGCACGTAGGTAGGAAAACAGTACACTGAGTTGTGCCTGTTCTTGAGGTCATGATGTGCTTGATAGAAATTCAAAAAATATCTTTCGATCAAGAAATAAGCTACCAATAGTGGTTAGAAGATCGATATTTTGGGTGATTCATTTTTGTCTCTATCGTAGTCTTCGGATTTGTTTGAATTTGCGGTTGCCGAAATTGTTGATACCGAGATATTTTAATCCATTATTATCATCATCTTCGTTTAGTATTATTAGATGGCCGATCAGTAGTGTTTCGTCTAGTCGGCTTCAATTAATGCTGTTCGGTAACAGCTAGGAAACTGCATCTTGTTTTTGCTGTCGCTGTTTGTCTAGTCAGGTTGTTGTTGTTGTTGTTGTTGTTGTTGTTGTTTTCATTGTCGTCAAATCATTGTAGCTTGTTGAAACGAGCTGCTTGATAGAAACCGATTTGTTGTTATTAATCAATCACATAGAGAGTTATCAGAGTTGTTCATCCATTGTAAACGTTGTTGCTTCGTGAATAGTATAACGTCGACGGGGTGGCGCACATCGCAAGGCCCATCACCTGAGGAGACCAAACCATCGTCTAGGCCAAACAGTTCACCTGGCCCCTAGCGGCGTACAGAACACGCCGAACACGTTTAATTTGTACGAACGTTTACATGTGATTTTCCTTTCACGTCTTGTATGTGTTCTACACATTTTGTTTAAAAGCACTTGGCCATACGCTTCCGTTCCCAGAGGTGATGCTTACTTCGTCGACAGGCTTACATTGCTAGCTCTGAAGAAAATCCCATCCAAACTCAGCTGAAAAAGTTCTGGCTTGAATCAAAACAGAATGAAGGCAGAGGCGATCCGACGCAGAAAAAAGTCTGTCGATCTGATCGCGCAGTCTTATGGGCTGATCGATTGATTGAGTGGCTGACGTTGATCAGAATTGCGCTGGGACTGAACTGAGCTTATGCACGGTCGTTAGAAGCTGCCAGAGATGGAAGCGCATGGGATGGTGCCATTAGAAATATTTAAGGCCAAATTAGGCCGTTGAGTTGAACGGTCTGCCCGGCACATGTGGCCTGGTCAGGACCCAGCACATCACTGGGTCTCTCGCCTCCATCACAGAAAGCAAGTCTGCTCGACATGAAAACTTCCAACGCCAAGTTACACAACAGCATTTTTATACGTCAATTGGGTCCTCTTGAGCAATCCTGCAAGGAATCGGATACGCATATTAGGGTTGCGAAAGGCGTCCCTTATTCAATTACGACAAAAAGGAAAGTGTGAAGGATACCATATACAACAAACGCAGATAAAAGATCATACTTCTCTGTAGAAGTGCGTTTAATATCCGTATGGTGAGATATTGTGTTTCATTCAACAAATAGTTGGTAACTTGAAATTCATATTAAAACCATACTTCTACAAAAACGTAAAGGTTAATATATTTCGCATATTCACACAGAATGTTATACTTCCATGTAAAATCCTTGTCAACAGTTCAAATGTGTTCTTAGTTGTGGCCTGCAAATTGTGATGACTCTACTTTTTGCCTGTTTAGAAAACTTCGTATGTGCTCGGTACTCTATTGTTACCCATGTATTAGACGAAGGTCTAGATATATCGTAACATTTAGACCTTCGTCCACCCTATCATCGGTAGCTGTCTTAGTTAAGCGTTAATGTGATACCTACCTGGCCTCATATCGGTAATATGGCCCATAGGTGTCCGGGCTTAGGTGCGTGGCCAGGTCATCTGCGCATAGCTGATCGGTGGGATCACACAGCGGTACATCGCCGGGTTGTTGGCCGGCTGGTTGACCCGCCTGGCCCCCACCTGCTGCTGTAGCGCTCTTCAGGTTGCCGATAGACGTGGCCTGATGAAAGGCCTGGTTGAGGCTTAAGTTTGCTTTGCTTAAACTCAAACTGCTCGGGTTGGCTTTTAGCTGGCCGAGTTGGCCGAGCTGCAGTTGACCTGCGTCGTCCGGATGTCAGGAAAACGTGTTCTTGTTGTGAAGGCCAAACCCCGTGATTGGACCCATAAAAGGACCCATGCCATTGTCGGTCGCAGCGATGGCGAGGTTTTCATCCGAGCGAGGGCGTGTCAGGGGTTTTTTGCTTCCGCACGTTAGCGTGAACTAGGCAAATATACGAAATACATAAAGTACAAACAAACACCGCTCGCATTAACATTTCTTTTTTTCTATTGATCTAATAATATATCTACAGGAAGCTATAAAAATAATCCGGTTAAGAAACTTCTAGATTTTTTAATGACATTTTCAAAGGTCAACAAAATCTTGAAGACAACTTCGAATACGGACTTCAGCCAATGAATGATTAACACGTAAATTGGATTTTATGATACTTTACTTTAAGGCTATTCTGCTGACGAGCGTGCACTCACCTTAAGTTCTCTGCAGAGTTCAACGCAAACGGGATCACGTTCTTCGGGCACGATCTTCTTTGCTCGCCAAACAAATTCGACAATGGCCGAGATAATTGCGACGCATGATCCGACGAGGAGCACAATGAATACACCTCCTACCGAGGCCACGGTCATCGCCGACGTCCCTTTATTGATGATATCCTTCGGGCACTTTTTGCTTATGCGCTTCTTTTTCCACCAACGCTCCTGCGAGATCGAGATCATCAACGGCAGATGAAGCCAGCGTTTGTCGGTAGAGCACAACACGCAAAACACAGGCCGAAGAAAACATAAAACATTATCGACGTTAATAACGACCAAAAGAACAGATTGATCTTGAAACGAAGGTGCAATACTCTAAAAATCTTATATAATCTACTAACAGGTTGCCTTCTGTTGACGCTAAACGCATGCCTACCGTGACCTTTAAAAAGGCACCACACAGTATCAAACCGTAAACACCAACTCGGCTCTACTATGAATCTATCGCGCCAAGGTTGTGCCGAATTTCAACGCATGACGATACATTTGTGTGACTTGCAAACTTACCTGAACCGATCTATATGGTTTTTGTGTACGTATACATGCCCTGTAAATATACAGTGTAGTAGCAGACGATTGATATTGTCATTAAAACCTATTCGGCGTTTGCGCTCTTTCATGAAGCGGAGGCTTTGCAAACGTACGTATAGAGTAGGAACGCGCTAAGAGATACAAACACACAGTTGGCGGGCATTTCAACTAGTTAATCCTATGCAACTAAATCAGCCCAATGATAGTATTAACAAATCAGCCATAGACGTTGGAGCTGTAGTCCATTCTCTATTATTGCAATTCTAGACAGAGTTCAACCCTGCTTAGATGTAGTCAGAGGACCTGATGACTTGTCAAGCTTTTGTGTGAGGTGACAAATCCATCCTTGAGGCGAGAATAGCGTATAAACAAGTCAGCTAATATTGTTCACACAGGCAGGAGATGTTAACTCATCACTGTTAAATCATATTGCGATTTAAATAGCGTAATGCGCATCTTCGCATTAAGCTAACATTTCATAGAAGAGAGTATTTAACCTTTTAGCCGTTTGAAGGAAGAAGACTAAGCAGTTGTTGAAAGCCGAGCAGCACAGAAACTCACCTTAAGCACATGAAGGTCACCGTTCTCTTGTAGCCGAAGGATGGCTTGCGATAGCATAGTCCTGTAGGGGGACCCCGGAGGAGTGGCGATACCGTAGCCCTGCAGACAAAAATGGGACATAAGACCAATTTTGATTGATGCAAGTCCAGTTTTGCTAATAGGATTAGTCATAGCATATACGCGAGGTGACCTTATCGTGTAGCGTAGGAAGACAAACTCAAGGAAGCCAAAGGAATATAGTGGCTGATATCACACAAACAGTAACGTCTTCGGCTGAAGCCGTACAACCTTTGAATAATTATTCTGATTTAAGGACGAATCACTTCGACCAGAGACCATGAAAACTTATCGAAATAGTGTTTAGCTCATTTTTATCATCAAAATCAAAGATGGCATTTGTTCAGCAGGGTGCTTACGAGCGACTCTAACAACAGCCATTAGAGACTCTCGTTAATGATATGCTTCAAACGAAGCTTTCCTCTAAATATTAATCGCAACACGCTCTAGCTCAGATCTGGGCAAGGGTTACAACAGCCACGGTAATGTAGCGCCTAATGTGATAAACTCAAAGGACACATGGTGGTTTAGATTGAAATTCAAGGATGGACACATTTCGGGATAAAAGCGAGCCGTCTTATAGAACCCCTAACGACAGTAGAGCATGTAGACGTCGAAACGCTCGACTACGAAAACTAATGGTTGCATTCTAGCAATGCCACAAATTCGACAAGATGTCAATATGGCAATTTTCATACTGAGACAGCTACCCAAATAGAACATTTCAGCTCCTGTGCATAACCCTGTTCTATAGATACTCGTATAGATAACATAACCCGTCGTATCACTTTTAATCCACATGGAGACTGGATATTCCTTGGTATGCCAGAATTTTGAGATTTAGGGCCTTAATTTTTTGGAGAGAGGTTTTGTGCATCTTCTTCGAAATTGATATTTGTGTGCTTTCGAGTGGTAATACGGGCTTCGTCTATTGTACTCGCCGCATGTGGTGTTCCGTGTATATATATATATATATATATAAAAGCCCTAGCCTGCAGAACGTCCATATATATATGGACGTTCTGCAGGCTAGGGCTTTGATTTTAGAACTGTCGCTTACAGCTATCTAAACAGCGAAGGACATTTCCATCTGGATGCATGGGATGCTATGGTTGGGCCTGTCAATACAACAACCGGCAGTGCAAAGACGAAAATATAAGCAAACATAATCTCGAAAACACCAAACGAACGTGTGCCAAAAAATTGGAGGTTCTTCGAGGCCCCGACACACCAGCTCGTGGTGACTGCTAATTGATTGATATGAACAATTCCAGCGGTATTAGTTCTTGGTTCAATTTTTCAACAGAGATTCTTTCACGTTGGGTTCAGATCCTTCAAAAAGCACTTCCCGGCATTAAAATTGGGTCAGAATTTACTAAATTTAGATACAGGGTTCTAAAGTCGTAAAAGAATAAGACTACGGCGACATTAGCCTTGCAACACCATAATCAACTAGAGGTAAGACTTCAATACAGACTTGGTTAATTCAATGGAGGATGGCATTTCATGATAAGCGGTTATATCAAATTAACATTAAACAGAATCAAGCCAAAGGCAACACCGGGCTTCTAAATCTACATCGTAAATATGTAGGACTGGTTCATTGACAACGTACAATACACCTTGTGTTTCTGGTTTTCTATGAAGTACCGTGATGTTTTAACGTACCTTATTGTCGAGCAGTGAGCCGATCTGGGTGAGGTCGCAGTTCCTCTCAATGTTATACTCGATTGAAGTGGACTCCATCAGGTAAGCGTACTTTCCCCTTAACACACGATCGATGCCCTTCTGGTTGCTCTCAGCAAATACAGTTGGCCGTTGAGATTGCATGACGTGCCACATTTTAGCGTATGTTGGGAATTGCGAATCCTAACAGCATAGACGCATGAAACAGTACGCTGTTAGTGGGAAGCTTAGCTTTACAAAATATAACTGTTATTGTGGAGTGTATGTAGGTTTGAACGGGCGACCCGGGGTTTTTGGTCCAAGCTACGCAATCAGCAGGTGGGCAAAATAAGAACTAGCTCTCATCAGCGGACGCAAATGCTTAAGCTTGATTCCTTTCGAAGCATTGTATTTAATATATAAAATAATTTAAAACTTGTTAGTAAAGCGTTTTTGACGCTTAACTCAAGAATTAGGTGACAATATAAAATATTAGATTGAACTATTCGACTACTAGCACGAAAGTTCTATGGAGTTAAGTTTATACTGTTTAAACTCACTTTGAAGAAGGATTGTGTGGAGCCAGACCTAAGACAGCCATACTGAATGGTTGTCTGCTTCGCCAAATCTTCAACGCTTTCAATTGGAGATACGAGACGTTCCACAGTGAGGAACGCAGCCAAGTTGGCGGTGTAAGAAGAGACCATGATCAAAGTGAAGAACCACCACATGCCGGCTGCTACACGAGTCGACAATGCTCTACGATCCAGTCAGTACATTACGTGATTGTAAGATGTTGCCGAATGAAATTCATCGAAATAAATATTACTGTTACAATAGGCCACCGGTTCAAGCTTCATCGGATAGTTAGAAGCTGCTTACATCAAAATGGAGCGCATTTAGCAGGAAAAAATAGTCCGTCTTATCTCGTTAATATCAACATTGGCAGCAAGCAGTTTTCCTACACAGGAAACTCCCCACAGGCCTCTGCTGCCTGTCATATGAACTTTTGAAACTTTATTTTCCTGTTCTAGCCATCAGGAAAGTATGGGCCTGCACCTTACGACGCCTGTATCGAGCATTTGTCACGAATAAATACTAGAATGAAATGCACATTCTAGCTCATTAATGGTGGAATTGGCATAGAGGGCTATTTAACGAATTTAAAAATAGATTGACAAAATGAATAAATGAGAAAGCTGAATTAAAAAGTAGATGCTTGCAGTAGTGATGGAGCTCATACATGAGGCTCTGTATTGCCGAACCAATAATTCTGAGCTATCGCCATCGATCTTGCTTCTACAAGATACACACCGAATCATTTTTTGAGTTAAGGCTGAGGCAAATAAATTCATAGATTTTTAAATACGACCGCGGAGTGATTCATATCAGTATTGTACCAGTATGGTCAACATCTGTACACTCATAAAGAAAAAATAGATTTAAAGTGTGGGACGGGCCCATCACCAAAAGCCTATAGTACTGATGGTAACCCCTATTCCTCGAAAATTTCTATCCAAATTATAAACTCCAATTAGTTTAGAAGAAAAGATTATTACGAGTTTGATTTTCCGAAAAAAGCAATTCTCTATTTGAAGAAAGTTTGACCGCCGTTTTCCCGAGGCGATTTTCGCCCTTTTAGGCAAAAGTTATTTCGACTGTAGAAGAGTTGACAGGGTTTCATTAGAAAAGTTTAGTTTTACTTTGGTTGTTCCATAGCTGTGTGGCCGCACTGGTGCGCTATATTTAAAACGTCGTTGAATGGTAATCTCGTACGGCGTGCAATGGGTCGTATGTTGGCAAAATGAATTGATGGTGAAAAGCTTACCGTGGTGTTACATCGCAGCCTTGTTGCATGAGGCATCCAATAGTGAACCAAAGCGTATTCCATATTGTAAATTGATTGTCCAGTTCCTCAGGGTTTCCTTCACAAGGATGTGGATTTACCCATTCATATGGCGAGAATCTCGCAAGCACGAACAGGAATAAAGATACTCCGAGAAATGCTGTCATCATGTAGATCCAGACCTGAAAATAGGAGGAAAAGATATATTTACACTAAAATTAACTTGGTTTTTATCGCCAACGAATTAGCTTTCATAGATAGTAATGAAGCGGTCTAGACAATTAGCTAATTCAACTAAGAAAAAGGTGCTCATAATACTTAGGAAACCTAAAACATTCAGGAGAAGTTCAAATTACTACACACTGAACTAATTTTGTGTGACTCAAAGTAGATAAGTGCCAGCCATTTTACGAACTACGCCACCGTGCGATTGCGCTGTTTAGCTTTAAATCTATGTTATACGCCTACTTGGCCATTATCTGCTGTATGAAGTACACGCCACTAGTAGGTCAAGATCTTTCAGAAAAAAACCCTTTGTAGCTCCCCCATGCGCGCGATCCATCGGCGCAGTTCGAAGACTCGCAGCTTAACGGTGGTCACTGTGTCGCGTCTCGAGGTTTGCTAAGAAAGCATCAGTCCCATTTAGTGTTTTTCCAACTTTGCCCTTATCCGCTAACAGGGCTGCCAGTCTAGAGACTTTCCGTGTTAAATGTACGAAAGGAGGTACGACAAAAGTTACAGTGAAGCAAGCGCCACCCGAACTTAACAGCACCGACGATAAAAAAAAGTGGCGATGGAGTGGTTACAAAACGTAAAAAGAGGAAATACCACAAACGCTGAGCGTCCTTAACAATGGCCTCCAAGAAGCATTTGTCACCTCCTATCAGAGGAGCGCCACATCGCCAAATATTCCATATCAGTGAAAGACAAAGGAATGTCCGAGTGATATTTCTAGCTATCGCCTCTTCGTACTCCTCGTACAGGTTTAATGAAAGCGCATCATATTTGCCCTCAGTTTTATTCTATAAGCTATCATATCTTGATAAAATAATATCCATAGCTATGACGTGTTTGTATATGCGCAAAGGATCGGAGACCTAACTGACTTCTGCTATGTCTATGAGGCTAATTGGTTTTCTAGGGAAAACAAATCGAATGGTACTACTGTACCTGTTTCGGTAAAAATCTATTGAGTTATATCAGCAGCACCTCATGGCGGCTATAACTCAATGGAGATCTCACAATACCATTTGTTTCAGCTGATACTGCCTTCGCAACGTTGGTACCACACTTACTATTGCCATCAGCTAGGAACAATAATGCAATTGCCACCATTTCGTAAACCAGTTGCAGAGGCAAGTCTACGGATATACGGCTCTCGTTATAGACACAGTGATATGGTAGTAAAAAACGTCAGACATCGTTTTAACCTACCTCGAGAGAGAGTGGGTCTAGGAACGAGAATAGTCCGGGCGGGGGTTTCGCGGTTTTCTTGTAGAGGATCGAGATCCCCAAAGTCATGAAGGGCATCGTGAAGTCCACGGCCTCTTCACGGACGAAAGTGATCGTCAGATCGGCCACAGCCAAGTCCGCTTTCTGTAAATAAACAATATAATAGTCGTTAAGAAGATGGGATGTTGATTGAGTCGGATAACGATAGAACAATAATCGAATTTAGATTTAGGCACAAGTTACGTAATGACTCTGCGTTATTCAAATTCAAGAGTTTCAGAAGCAGCGTCTCTCGATGCCACTATAACCAATATAACAACACCGAGTTACTATTTTTATGGTTTGAAAAGTTTGCTTCAAACATTAGGGAACTGTGCAACCTCTATCATATGACATATAAACCTGTCAACGATCGTTTACTAAAAAGAAAATTGATATGAATTGCTTAAGGTATTAAGTTTTGTGCGGTTCATGATGCAGATAGAGGCTACCCGGCTGCGTTGGACTTAACTTAAAAGTTGATCCTATTATAAGCAGAAATTTAGCTATCCCTTCCCATTTGGATAACAACAGCGCTAGCAGCAATATCCGAATCGAACTCTTGGCCTCGATCAGGCCTTATATATTTGCCAAGGTTGTGATCCTCAAGTTCCAGTCATTAGGTACAAATCTGATTTTGAGTATAGATTTGGCAAAAAACCGCGACGGGTGCTAAGTACGGTGCTTGGCAGCAGACCTCACGATCGGATCATTTAAAGGATGAATAATTTCTATTCACATGGCTTTTCCTTGTACATTGGCGTAGGGGGTCCCTCTGCGTACAACTAAGATGCTTGCAGCAAAGGCGCGTGCTTTCGTGCACTTTAGAATTTCGGGTTATTTCTCGTGTTTGTGATTCCATATGACCATCACGTCTATCCACAAAGAGTATGTCTTATCGGCACAAATGCGGTAACACAGCAGATCAACAAACGAATTCGGTATCGAAACTTCAGGAGTAATCAAAAATCGATATCTTGCGGGGAACTGCACTAAGGGCAATCAGAGGCGATCTCTGCGTTTTAGGGTAGAACAATTGCAGTAGAGAGCATTTTGGAGTAAAGCACTATTCTATAAACATTTTCGTATAAAGTATAGATTAACGTATAGGCTAGGGCGACATCCTACCGCCGGAGTTGAGCATGTCCCAACGCAGCCAGCTATGAGAAAACGAAGTTTAAACTACAGAAGTAATTCTCATGGGATTTTTGTTCAAGGAGCCATTTTACACATATCGTTGTGCGCTCTCGTATACAAACAGTACTTTCTATTGTACGACGTGCGTTCTCAACAAGTTTCTGTTTGGCGTTTCAAGCTAAAATGCACGCGTCTCATGCTAAAATGCGGCAGCAGATAGGTTGTAAAAAGTGAGATCTGTGTATAGAAGACGGGTCGGAAGTCTAAGAAGGTTTTACTAGATAAGGAAAGGCTATGTACATCACGATGTACAACCAACTAACCGAGATCAACGGTGCAAATAGGGATAGAAGGTCAAAGTAAGCTCATAGAGAAGCTTGTTAGCCTGAACGTGATCGTAATATTAGAAAGGTCGAAGTTGCACAGGCAGATAAATAATGTTTGTTGAGATATGATAATAAGCTAATCTTAAGTTGATATTGGGGAACATATTTGAAAAATAACGGTATAGTGAGCGCTCCCTGAAAGCAGCGGTTAGTGTTTGAAAGCGAAAAAAGAGGGAATTATCGCGAGCTGCTCTCTCATACGCAATATATGTACTTAGTTGAAGAATTAGCCTAGTGACCTATAATACGTGCTCAGGTTCAAAATGATTGTTTACCGAAACAAAATAGAAAATGTAGGTGCAGGGTATTCTCTCCTCAAAAGGTCTAGCGTTGTCAATCCAGTCTACCTAAGCCAACTGGACATAATTGATTTTTTCCTACGGGACATAATTTTGTATCAATTTCAAGCGCATCCGTACAACGTCACGATGTTCTGATAACAACTACGCGTTTGTCGTTGCCACCTGGGCCAGTAGCAAACGTAATTTTTCATGTCACTGACATTTTTGATGCTTCTAACTCCGTGTCCCACTCAATGGCGGGAAATAAGCAAAATTCATGTTCTAATCCGTGATTCCATAGACTTATCGGGCGTTCAATAAAGTTTTTATGATGTTGACGAACGTTATATATATTAGGTTAGTACCACTTCAATGAACGGCCTTTTCCAAACTAGGTGGAGTAATACACTTCGTTATTGAGACTTTTTCTAATTATCAGTACTGCCGCCTAAAAAAGTTAGACTAGTCGTTTCTGGTTGTATGATCGTTCGTCTCACAAGTACTTCGAACGGATGACGTGCCTCCCAGGATGTAATTTATAACTTTATAATTATTTTAGGTGCGATACCAGGATTGCAGGTTGGCAATGGCTCATACCTTCTCGCCATATTATCAACAGGCTCTTTTTGGGCCACATACAGAACAAGAATTGCTTTATAGTACGATTTATTGTGACGTATAGTAACTGATTTCAACACGATGTATAAATCGCAGCAGTGGCTACGGCCTTACTGCTTTCCCAAGTCATGGGAAAATCGGCTTAGGGAGGTACGTGTTTTACCAGTCCTGATGTAGTTAGGAAGGAGCGAGTAAATAGATGTAATTTTTTTTGACGGCCGCCTCGTACCTTGAGAATGTAAATCGGCTTTGCTTAGAAATGAAGCGTGTCGTTGACAGCTCTATTTGGATACCGGGGGCGCGGTTTTATCATGCAATAAGTTCATTTGCCAGCGAATCACATAAAACCTAAACGATCATTTCTAAATTATAGCATTAAACAATTGCATAGACTATAGTAGATCTGGGAGACTTGGCTTTAGTTGAGCAATATGATAAAACACTACTTAGAGTAAAATTTTTATCTAAGTTTCCTCGTAAATAAACTTTCATTCAATTTGTCTATACAGTGGGATGAAGAAGAAGAAGTTTTAAAGTCTACGTATATAGTCTGCTGAAATATATTGTTACTATTTACAAATCGCGTTGCATACCCCGCTTAATAGTTCGCCGATCATCCCGTTCCATCTTCCATCGGCGTCCTTCCGGCCATAACTGTTGTCTGCGACTTCGCGGATAACATACTTCATGTTGTTATCGAAGTGCTCGGAGGAAGCAATCGCGTCGAGCAAATCTATGCAGTAGCCTTCATATTTATCGTTCCCTGTCAGCCCGTTATCTCTCCAATTCTCTTTGTACATCACGTAAGGTGGTTGCTGAAAAGGGAACCAATAGTGAATCATAATTTCCAATTATACAGCACTACCTAACTCATCAATATTGACAGAGAATAGAGCAAAAAGCAATGGCAAGCTAGTTCAAATCTCGAATTGCACTTGTGCATCTTACCAACTATTATTTATACGAGTTATGATGATTGGAAACAACTTGTTTAACAGCCAGGTTAGACATTAATCGTTGACGGACCACGTAACGCTCGCTAACAAAACGGACACACGGCTGAATCGTCGCTTGCTTTCCGACATATCTTCCAGTCTCCTTTAGTTCTTTTTTAGGCTGCTTTCCTCTCGCTAACACCATTGTCCGCACTGTTTGAGAAAACTTCCTGCGTACCCGTCTTCTAAGGGTACTTTCAAGATTCATCATTCATCTCATTTGTCCTTCGATAACGCTATTTCGCATCAGCAACCTTCAAACTCGATTTCCTGTTTCGTCGGCACACTTCAGTCATTGTCGTTCCGTTACTGCTTTGGTCTACCAATTTCGTATATTCTTTCTGTCTCTCGACCTCTTTCGCTGCCTCTTATAGCTAGCTATACATATCCCGCTTGCAATTATTTGTGTAGTCTTTGTTCGGTTTCATTTTGATGCCCGTCAAGACTGCATCACTTTTCTTTAGCACGATGTTCAGGTTTGGCCCAGAAAGAGTTCATGCGAGCGAGAGAGAGAGACCCTAGAACAACGTTTGTCGTTCGATCCGTACAGGCAAAAGAGAATTATAGCCCTACATACCGGAGCTAGGGCAGTTGTCCATTGCGCCCACCGTACGTCCCAGTGAGCTTCATTTGTTCGGCAACTTTCAACTCGTTCAAAGCCCCTTCCCCCATCCACATTTATCCTCGTTAAGCGTCACACCGACACGTCTCTATATTCGATTCCTTTCGCTGCCATTGCGGTTTGAGGGGCAGCGGCATAGGTACTGGTGGGTAAGGCAATAACCATGAAAATGACTCTTTGCTTCCTACTCACCGGCAATATAAACGACAACAACCACAAAAACTGTCGAATAGACGACAGGTTTTACAAGTACCATATAGTAATAATCATTATCAATATATGATTCTTTTCGACAGGACTTTATCGACGTTCCTAGCCACTGGAATGCGCATCGTTTCAACACATCTTAGATAACAAGACAGATGGCGCACATAGGGAGCCTAGGTAATAACAGGCAAATGAATGCAAGTAAAAGTAGGAAGCCATTTGCTTTAGATCAGCATCGATCCCGATCATGATGGTAGTCTTATGGAAGGATCGACCTCGTGCTCCACTATTCCTTCCCCATATATATTCTTTTTAGCAATGCTAAGAAGCCATGAGAATGCCTCATACGAGCATTTCATGGTTTAGTCATAACGAGGTACATCCATTTCCAAGTACTGCCAGAGGCGTTAGTTATACTCCACCTAGAGTTGCGACATTTAACGATATTTTAGAAGCTTTCGAAGAAGTTTCTGGTAGCTGCTGATTACTAAAGTCAGTCATAAATTAAAAAAGTACGATCAGCTCAAAACATGCAGACAAACGATCGCAAGACTTAGAGCAAAAAATACTTCCGTGATGTGACATAAATTATTTGTCGCTTTCTGGTGGAAGTGGCAGTATACTAAGGCAAACGTACAGCTTTAGACCAACGCCACTTTTATACTCGTCCGATTCAATACGAAAATACACGTCCACCAAAGCCAAACATAGGTAAATAAAGCTCACAGGGGCTGCTATCTTCTCGGCAATAATAGGGTTATCTAGAATATATGAAGGAATTTTAAATCACATTTAAGTAGCCGAACGAAGTATACTATATTCATCATATTCCAAATGTGCACCGGTAAGTGGAAGTGTCTTTTGATCGACTTTCCTTTGCCATCAGGAGGTAGACGTCGGCAAACGTTGGTTCGGTGCTCCAGAAAACTACAATGGTAATGGAAGCCTTACTGCGGCCGCCATTCGCAGACATACAAATTACGTGGTGTGGGTGTAACAAAATAACGTTGCCGCTCGACCTGCTGAATTGTGTGACCGTGCATGGGTGTAACTTTTAGTTTATGTGTATTTTTAAGGAGCCCCACCAAGCCCCCCTAGGCGTGCTAAGTACGAATCAAGTTGCCTTCATCCCGTGCACCCCAAGATACAAATAATATTCGCTTAAAGCAAACAGCCTCCCTCTTGAGGGTAGAGAGGTGATCGACCAAGCGAGAGCACCTGCGCACTTCTTTCTCGAACTAGAAGAGTTTATAACTTAAGTTTCGTCGACTGAGCGCAATGCAAACTATGTGCAATTTACTTCCGCTGAAGTATCCACCAACACTCGAAAACTATTGCATTCCCAATCGCAGTCACCGCGCCCGAAAAAATCACGATTAGACAATGCAAACATCTGCGCGAGATGCAAAGAGCGAACGTATACTATTCAAAATGTAATAGAGTAATACATGTCGTCTATAGGACTGGGGATCATGCTGACCCAACAGTCGACCCAATATGGCATCGACACGGCAAATGGCATTATAGGGTATTCTCAGCGTCAATATCAGACTGCTCAACCAAATACATTATGAAATGATCGGATACGTGTACGCTGGAGAATGAATTAATGGGCTTCGCGATGTTCCTATTTCATCCAATGATGGCGCTGGAAGGGCAAATGTCAGACTTACATTGAAGCGAAACCGAAGTACACGGTTCTAATGATGATGGCTGATTGTAAATTTCGAGACCCTCGCACGGCCCGACCTCGAGAAACAACGCTAATGGTGGGCGACAGCATCGTGCAATCCCTCGGCCTCGCGCTGAAAAAAATTCATTCTGAGAAAACGTCCGTGACTATTTGTACGACGCCGAAACTGAACATAGACAGTCTCGTGTATGAAGCAGAGATGTATATTAAAAGTATCGATGGGCCGGCTGAAATGTTTTACAGGCTGATTATCATAAGTGCATTGAATTTAAGGAGGCTATACATATCAGTACGATGGAGAGTTTTTCGCAGACTTCAACTACCTAGCGACCAGAGTCAGAAGTTCGTTTACTCTCTGCTTTTTTCTTAGTCAGACTTGCAAAGCAGCAAGTAATATTATTGAGCAGCGCATAAGCTAAGAAAATACGAAATTTTCACCACAGCCGTCGTTGAAGTAGACGGTTCCGCTATGAAGGTGAGGTGGCTGGGAAGATCGCTTACGACACTGCCAAAGTGATAAGACTTTTTTTAGGCGTATAATCTTGATAATCAAAAGGGGCAGGATTCAGGAGATGTTTTGCATGAGAGGGCTTTTATAGCAAGTCCAGCCTGTTCAAGTGGCCTCTAAGTGCCGAACGTTACAACAGCTTCAAAAGGATAAACCATCACTAAACGAAGCCAGTGTTAAACAACCGCCAGTGCATCGCGCCGAACAGTTGGACAAGTGATACCTACCCCAACGGCCGAGAACTTCGTAAAGCGGGTTCTGATAGAACTGACGGCATGAGGGCCGGCGCAAGTGCATGATACCACCGTTGCCGCTCGCGAGAGCGATCACTAAGTCTGCGACGGAAGCGGGTTCTGAGGAACTACAAGATACTACAACTCTGGCGTTTCTCTCCCCTAATGCGTTCGAAATATAGCATCCCGTGCTAACGGAGGCTTGGCCAACTAGTCTTTTTGACTTATTGCGTTTCTGTTCTATGCATTGAAAAACAACCAATCTGACCGCCTGGGGGAACGTCTCGGTTTTCTATAATTATAAAACAGACGACCTCACGCCGTGCTTAGTGGTGAGTAATGTAGAGTATGCCTTACGACTAAGTCTCCTAGCAACCATGTTTGGCCGGCGGGTTCGGAATCAAAGTACGTCGTGGTGCAGAAACTCGTCAGCGGATTAGAAACGTTGTCTTTTCGTTCTGCCTCTTCTCTGGCCATTGGTGATTTCAGCGCCTGTCTCGACTAGCCGCTTTAAGATAAGCTCGGAAACTACATTTGTCGGGTAGTGAATTCCACCTCGATACCAATTTCCTACGAGATGTACGAAGTTCCAAGCTGATAATAATTTACTGTCAAAGGGCGCGAGCATTCGTGCTCACATATTGATGGAGGCAGCCCTCACTGTCCAAGTTGCACCCACACGGGCCCTCAAACACCAAGCTACGTCGCAAGAGATGTAGACAAGCTCTTGAAACGCGCTTGAAGTTCTTCTTGCACCTAATGTAATTTATAAGTTAAACTTTTGCGCAGCGTTTGGTTTAAATTCTCCAGTTTATGGTTTAGCTCGTACGTTCTCTTCAGAACCACAGGCCGTGGTTTCACTATGCTTGCAAGCTTAGCTGGAGAACCTAACGTATGAGCGAGGTATAGCTCGAGTTATACCTCTTAACCTCTGTTGTTAACACGATTGATAGAAAATCGTATGCGTCAAAATACTCACAATGCGTCACAATACACACACTTGAATGGCCCGAGACATACGCTTGATTCCCGATGCAAAACGCCAATCATACAAGTACACCACGATAACTCGGCGGGTTGCCCGATTAGCTCCTTGGCCTTCATAAATCATATCTCGGATATGCTTTCGCCAACGGTTGTAATACCATGCTAAAAGGCTTTTTCGCTGCAGCGTGAGAGGAGGAGATCTCAGCACAACGCAATATTCTTTAACAAGACTTCACAATGCAGGAACCTATGTAAGGTCTTGGGAGCTTAGTCGACACGAATATCGCCGGTCCAGACACGGTTTGCAACGAGAATCTCAAATACGCCATCGTTCTGGCGCCGAGGTGTACAGCAATATTTAATAATTGTCTACCTACTGGTACACTTCCAGCCGAATATGCGTCTATTGATTTCTAAAAGAAAGGGCGATCCAATCGCACCGTTACCGCGACCAGGAATAGCGAAGAGAAGCGTTTGTTTTAAGCTATCCTCTGGCTTGCTATCTGTGAAACTGACTATCTGCTTAGAAAGCGTGCACGCCATTCCATGGAAGTATTATAGGCTCCGAAAGGAATTCTACGCAAAAACGACTCACACAGGTTCCTCATGGTCGTCGTCAAGAAAGAGCTGGTCACGTTACGTAATCCGCTATACATGATGTTGGTCTACTTCAAGACAGCATTAGACGACGTAAGAGCCGAATTTTCAGACGACTGATTTAGGTCAAACAGCTTAAGCACATTGTTTTTTTCCTATTTTACTAAGGTGCCTTCCTGATTCTCCGGAGAGAGCCGAAGAAATTAGCTGAAATCATCTTGTATATAGATGACTTAGTGATGCTCGGGTCTAACAGGCCGGGACAACAGGTTTCAAATGCAGCAAGGTCTACTCCAGTTACATGCGGCAGTCATAGATTTGGAGCCGATCGTAGGCCTGACCAAGACGAAAGCGATAACGAGGCGGCAGGGCAGCGGCCATTGACACCCTGTACAACTTCGCCGGTTGCCCCTTACTTACGTTAACTGGTTTCCGCACACGCGGTTGCCCTTCTCTGCGAGCCACAAAATTTTAACTGTACCGGTCACCAAAAAATGTAACAATGCAGTGTCGGCCAAATAGGCGATTAAATTACCTTATATCTTGTTTGTCGCGAGCGCAAAACTTGAAGGATATCAAGATAGCTACGATCACAATGTATGGAGTCTGTGTCACACACAGGAGGAATTGCGTTAAGGCCGTTTTCATTAAAAGTACTGAAACTACACATAATACCCGAAATTACTTCATGTATTCTCCAACCTGCTCGCTATTTTTGTCTGAGGACCTTCGTCGACGCTTTGTGTTTTAACCAACCGATACCGGGCGTAAAACTCAACACATAGAGGCTATACCATAGACTTTATAGGGAAGCGAGTTTTCGCCGGTCTCATGATGCATGTAGGCGTTCAACATGATGGGGTAAATTGCTATAGACTTCATGCCAATCGAAATATTGCGTTACTATTGATCTGCATGTATACAGATGAACCATTTGACTGCTATAGATGAATACGTTTGAGTACTATACTTCATCTAGCAGTAGTGATGGCTACCCCTAGGAAAAATCGATGCCGTTTAACTGAGGCCTAGACGAGTGCAGAAAATAGTTTCTTTTCATATGTGTTACGAAGCCAGTTTGCTGTACATACAGCGGGATGATAAATTTCAAATCATTTTACGGTCAGTTGTTGTCCTTTTCCTTACGTCATCCTTTTACTAGTTAACTTTACGGGAACTTTCAGCTATCTGTTCACACTAGTCCAGTTTATCATTATGTACTAGCATACATACGTGTGTGCGGGTCATTTAATCTCTAGAACAATCTTTTTGCGCCACTTCTCAAACTAACGCAGACTGTATAACCTAAAGAGCCTATTGAGTAGTCCTCGGGGAGCAATGCAGAGTTCCTTCAGCTGCTGCGTATGTTATCAAGGTTCCCGGCATAAGCTTTGGCCGGAATACACTTGCCAAACGATGTAGTCACGCGAACTAGCTGGGCAGAGCCGGCTGTTGTTCAGCAGCGCTTCAGCGTCAAGCCTACAAGCAGATAGAGTGGCATAGACACTTAACGATAGCATGATATATTGGAGAGACACCGCAAATGTCGTCCCGTGTCGCTGGTCCGGCGAAGCTATCTCGGGGATGAGACTCAACAGAGAACGGATAAGATCAGTCACTATGGTTCAACGTCGAGCTGAGTTACAAATGATGGCATCAATAAAGTGTATATATATACTGTAGTGGCACAGCTCTCTGGTTTGGAGAAGCATTTGATATTCAAATGAAGTGATTTTGCTGCACACGCATACTATACCTCAATTCCAAACAAATATTTCAGATGTATTGTTCGATTTAAGTAGCTAACCTGAGCTCTTTTTTTGGGGGTAGCCTTTAATATATGCTCTATAAAGCAATGTCGTGTGGACCCGTTGCATCAAACACTATACACTATGTCTATATACAGTACAAAGACAACGGGGACATTTATCTATGTTAAGTTTTTTTTGCACAAACTCAAAGTGTGCACGTCATTCATCTTGAATCCGGAATAGGCTTAGATGAAACGAGAGCGAGTCCCTCATTCGCACGTGCTTCTGTAGCCATATTGCTAGGTTTCTCAGTGTGAAGCAAACCGATAGCATACTTGGTGATTATTATTACCACTACTACTACTATCCTTATGATCATTACTATCATCGGTCAGACTAAATTACAGAAAAGGTCGAAAAAAGTAGACGAGCTGCGCTTGTAGGTTAATGAAATATTTACTAAGACGAGAACTTACCAGAATAGTGGTGACAACCAAAGTCTTATTGAGGAGTGAGAGTCGGGCCTCCTCGAGCTCTCTGGTGTAGTTTGTAGTGATGTTGATGCCACCGTGCATCGTCCACTCGCCGGCCTCTCGCCAGCCTGAGTGCGCCATGTCCAGCACAGTCAGCCGCATATCTGTGCGATGGCCGTCTTTGTTAAAGCGGATATTGCCTGTCAGCCCCTTGATGTTGATCTGTCGACGACGATAATCACAGTAAAGGTCAGGACACGTAAGGTTGGCAACAATGTCGATTACACAAAACAATGACGAAATTCAAACACGAACACGAGCGCGATACAAACGTCGGAACATGACAGTATCCGCAAACGGCAAACAACCAACGGGCAGCAAGACAGCACAACGTAGATAAACGAAAAACAAAAGATATTATAAAAGTCGGCACATAACTCGTTTGTAGCACTGCCATGTTTATTTATATTTGCATGTGTATGCGTTGTTCTTAGAATTCGCTCAGCAGCAAAAATAGAACAAGTTTTGAAATTGATGTAGGCGAAACAGTCCTTTTTCTCGGAAGGCAAGCCTGCGTCCTTTATAGTACCTGTGTAGACGAAAGCACTAAGATATTTGATTAACTATTACAAGAAAACGGTTCGTCTGATCAGTAGTAGGTACAGATCGAGGTATTTATTTGCTGGCGCCGACGGGCGTTCTTGCCGAAACAAGCCTTGAGACCTTCCAGATATAAGAACTAGAGAGAACATGCGAGTTAAGCTCTGAGCCTCTCGGCATGCTTTTAAAGAATATTCGAGACAAAGCGGACTTAATTCCTGAGAAAGACGCATACATAATACGACAATCTTCTAGAGATCTGTTGGATGTAAAAATATCTGCCTGTGAGTGACGAAACGCGTTGGCGATGGAAAAGCGACGGGCGGCATCATGTTTGTGTCCGAGTTATGGGTTAGGGGATTTAATAGCATCTAGAGTTTAAGAGCTTTAAACTAATTTCAACTAAACACCGGCATTCGTACTTATTCTATAGCGGTCCTATAGCCAGCCAGCACTACAGGGCGTTGTGTTAAGAGGCAGATTTACGATCGTATTGTACACGAGGCACCGCTGCCGAAAACCGTTCGGGACTGATGCTTTCTACTGAGAGATTTGATCGATTAACTAGGAATCTTCTCGCTAGTTCTAACAGGACACGCGCAATAGAGAATTGCTACCGCCGTTATTCTATCAGATTTTACTCAAAACGAGAACTAAAAACGTCACCTCATTATAAAGCTATATTACCTTGATACAGTGACCATTTTTCCTACAGTTTACTGTTGACTCAATCGAGTATTTTGTTACTGATTATTGCTGCTACAGATTTGGGGAATCCGCTGATGATGAGCTAGGTGAGGCTAGATCTTGTTGGTGCCAACGTTTACAGACGCACTCTGTCTTCGTTTATTATCTTTTCTTTCACATAAACATACATACATACAGGGTACATTCGGGTAGAGCGAACTTGATCGCGCTTTTTATCTCTGACTTCCAACAAAATGTAATGTGTCCATTGTTGATACACACAAAGTAGCGTAAGCCAACGACCGGTTAGCCCTAGACGTTTAGCAGATTTGCACCCGTCGTAATATTTCTTTTATCAAGTGTCGAATATTTTTGCATGAATTCGCTCGCTACAGCAGGACGGCAGCCATCTTGTTAAATATGCTAAGATTATCTAGTTTTGGTGAGAAATAGCGTGCTCGACTCGAGGTGACTATACGACCGCGACTGCTGCAGGCGCTGATAGAAGGGAAAGAACAGGTTTGTTGTCCTAGTGTTTCATAAGCTTTTCCTATTCAACAGCCAGTTCGTTTGCCGAGGCGTGAAAGTTCATTTTTTGAAACCATTTTCTTCAAAACGACCGCCGCCGACTGTCAACTCAATCTTAAGGTTTAAGGAGACCTATATTCCAGTCAGGGAAATTGCGTTGTTACTTGACTCAAAGCTAGCTTACCCAGTTATGCTTAAGAAAGTAAGTCCCGCTGCGAGCAGCTCGAAGTTCATGGTCCGTACGGGTCGAAAAGTCGCAAATTAGATTCCGTTTTAAGCGGCAACAAATTATATTTTCTCATTAAATTACCGATGAAAGTAATGTATTTTATAATAGGGCTTTATGTACTGCTGTCATAATACATGACAGATAAGGATTATTTTTAGTAATGCTTTTAGGCTAATAACTTGCCTGTTAACAACTTTTAAATGTTACATTGATTGACGCTATGCCTATCGCTCTGAGGTCACTTGGGGAGAGGTACGCTGTTTCTTCAATCACAGACACCTTCTAAGAATAATTGTTTTCGAGCACTCTATTGGGAAATTATCAAGTTAAATTTGCGGATCGCAGTCGATTTAGGTTCCCGAAGAGATTACTCGAACATATCTATGATCACTTTCCTTATTTGTCAAAAGTAATAACGTAATGATAATATGTGACTTTTTCCACCTGAACTACATATGTTCATTCTGAAGGCACATATAATACTACATTTCGTGTACGAACACAGAAAAAAAACAGGTTGCAATATGATAATTTTTCTGTTTCACTATCGTAAATTGTGTTTATGTCAAAATATTTTCATATCGGTGACGTATTTGACGCAAAACCACGTCAGAAATACAACATACGTGAAAGCAATATGCAGACTTTCAAGATACGTGCGACCACCCCAACGCTAATAGGATACTTTGTAGCAAAGGGGGCGGTCGTTACGACGGGATAGCGGTTCTCGTTTTTTTGAGTGGCTAAAACCATTAGAATGGTATAGGCCTTTTTTAGATGACGCTTAAATAAAAATGATCCTCTCCAACAATCTGGCATATTTTCTTTTCACAACAGAACCACAGATTTTGGCTTTATCTAGCCGCAGTTAAAAGCAGCGTTTGAAGTCCAGTCTGCGTATAGAGATGGATCCAACTAATTATGACCTTCTTCCCTAGCTCGCTTTTTCTGTTCTACGAAGATACACCTTGTATCCTGTTTGCATCTGACAACGCGGTTCGGTACATTCACTGCAGGAAATTCAATGACGAGGAGATAGGAGGAGCGTTGCAAAGACAAAAACCTGCTTGCCTCGAACTGCTATATATAATAATAGCGTAAACAAAAACACAGAGCTAGTAAACTGGCAGCAATGCATTTCCGGTGGAGTTGATGTTTTGATGCTCGCTCAGTGATCGATGCGACGTACGTATTGGCTTGCGGAAAACACAGACAGCTTCCGACCCGGTCTGTTTCCGAATTGGACTTTTTGGTACGGGTAGGATACGGCGAGGAAGAGAAAGATCACAGGACCGGCTGATAGCAGAATGAAATAAAGCAAAAGGCTAAAGATTTTCGATTGTAGCAACGAAAGCCTGTGGTGCTCCGTAACAGCTATTGCTTGGTTCGGTAAAAGACTAACCAGGTCTCTACACCCGCAACCCAGACCCCAAGCTGCAAAGCTAGTCCTTCCTTTCATTCACTTCTGACGTTGTGGCAATAACTGGGGCTGAAATGGCGTCCTGCGGCGGCGCCTGGTTTCAACAGAACAAAATCCCTAATGGAGACCCTATGGGAGAAGGGAGCGGGAGGACTGTAGGGCGGAGAACGGCAACGTCGTACACAAATTAGCGAACACTCATTGCACGTTGCTACTGTAAACTCGAGACGAAGAGGGCACAGTTACTCGTTTATTTAGCAGCTGTCTGTAGGTAGGTAGGTAGGTAGGTAGGCTTCGCGAAATAAAACAGAATTTAAAAGGGATCTACAAATAAGGTATTGCAACAGCTGCCACAAGGAATCACCGTGAAAAAGAAGGCCCAGCTAGGCCCACCAAGCCCCGGTCTGCGACAAATTCGAATATATAGCTCGCCATAGAGAAAACAAAAAGACACATTTATTTTACTAAAGGGACGAACTTATATTTGATAATATGATTATCAATACTCTTTTAACACAAATTATTAGAGTAGAATCGGCTGATGTACTATGTACAGTGTGTCAAAGTGAAATTAAAAAAAAAACTCAACAACTAATTAATATCATATAAAAAATAGAGAAAATTCCCAAAAAGCTAAGCAAGCTCTCCCAGCAGCAGCAGCAAGAAAATACGAAGAGTGAATGTATTATTTTTTGTGATGTTCAATCATTTACCACGTGCAGCTGTTACTAATTCGATTACTGCTCGCCGAGTTAAGCGGTCCCACCTTCTATTTGTTCGTGCATCGAAGAAGCCGGCCAGTCTAGCTTTGCCATTATTTTTGTAGATTTTCAACCCAGCCTGCTTTTGTGAATCGTTAATGTCCGATGGTCTATATATAACAGGCTAGGACGGTTCTACGTAAGCAGAAAAAACGAAGCGCGGGTCGATATTTGAGTTGTACGAAATTACGTTCTCTGCGGCCGTCTCTGCAGCGACTATTTGTCTTAGACACCGCAGATATTTTCTTGTTGTTCTATGTATTGTGTCAGTTGGCACTTGGCATCATACAGAAGTAAAGGTCTGGGGTCGTACTAGAGTCAAGCGCACATATAGGAGAAAGGTTTTTTTCTGTTTGATAAGTGTTACTATGAAAAAAAAACGCCAAATCCAAAAAGACAGGGCGCATTTTCATTCTATCACACCTTGTTCAGTCAGTTCCACTTTTTTGCTAGCAATCACCAGGTTGAACTAGCGACCTTACGCTGCGTGAACCTGTAAGGTGTTCAGCCAAAACTAAGATTACTAGTATCCTGTACAATAACAAAGCATGAAGATATTTTGTCTGCTCTGCTGTAGAGTACCAAACTGGTATTATCTCTACTTGACGAGCATTCGACTGATGAAATTCTACTGGCCTTGTATGACTTCCAGCTTCTAACAATTTTTTAGATGATGCAGCATATATAGATGGGTACATAACCTTACCTGATGGATCAGAGAGCTACGACGATTTGAAGTTGTTAATGATTGGAATTACTGGTGGGCCAAAGTGCCACATCTCCACGGTACACGCTTTTTTTAACAAGCCCTATCAAGAATAAATAAGATCATCATCCCCCAATTTTGGCATAATTTGATCACGTATAAAACACGCTATATACACACATACGTAATTGCTCCCATGTTCGTAATGCTGAGGTCTGTGGTACGGCTGTGGCTGGTATTATAAAAATCTATAAAAAATTCCGCTACAGCAATAGTGTATATGTGCCTGCTCTCACACAGAATGTGTAACAAATGCGATGTTTCAACATAAAGGTCAACGTCAGGATCTATTTCACTTTGCGTTTGCTGCAAAATCGAAGAAACATCCGACTGAGATCAATTCTTGTGCCTATTCAAGGCCATGACCTTTTATTCCAGAAACGATTTTGATTAATTTGTTTCTTTGCAAGAGTAAGAGCTCGACCAATATGTGCTCTGTTATCTCAGATTTTTCTCTTATATATATATATTTATTTTTGTACGCTGTGCATAGAAAAATAGATATATACAGTATGTGCGTTTTAACAACCAGTGGACATCACCTTTGCGGTTTTGCAAATGCCAGTCGAGTCGGCACGAATTTTTTAGGTAACTAAACAATGGTCGCGCGCCAGCGAAAAACGCAACATGAAAAGACAACAAAATATTGGCAAGAAGATCTAGGTATCTGGACTGTCGTTCTTCTGAAGAATTTCCAACAACAGCATCGTGACGAACGGAAAACAAGGTTCAGTTGATTTTTGTAAAATGTATATATAAATATGTGCACAGACTTAGTGGCAATGGACTACAGATAGAACTCACTGTGAGGCGTGCATCGATGCTGTAAGTTGTAAGATGGATTTTTTGCTAATTGCATATCGTTTAGCCAGTCTAGGCAATGAGATTTGTTAACGATGGTCGCAGTTGATAGACACTCATTGATTAATTACGAATATTATACTTTTCTAAGCCTTTGAGTAGATGAAGATTCAGATAACTTAAAGGCAGTCACAGACCGATACAGCGTTGGACAGACGGATGAATTTACGAGAATGTTGTGGCATTCTATGCGTTGGTCCGAGGTCGTACGAAATAACATCGAAAACGGCAAACATACAGGAAGGATCAGTATAAAAAGAACTTAGAAATAAAAGAATCGTATTATTCCATGTGACGACTACCAAGAACACGAACCGGTAACTGGCTCACGGTTTCATATTATAGATATACAAACAAGCCCAATTTCTGTTTTTGTATTATTGGCTCTATGGTATGCGGGTCACTCCAACCGGCTCGCAGGTTACCGGCACAATATAACGTTGTGACGAACGGAACTAAAGAAGCTGAGTATTTCGCTAAGCAAAAGCCAGACGGGAAAGGGTCATGCCAGTAAGGCGTAAAGTTTTACGCTGTTCAGTGAAATTGTACAATGTAACGATGTCGAAGTTTTAAGAAAGCATCACGAAATCAAGCAATAGTATATGTAATCATTTTTCAAGGCATATTATCCATGGAATATGTGGGTCTGTTATGTTAATTACACTTACCATCCGCATATATTTGACGAATGCGTTCCCCTGAGACCATTTGTGCTCCCGTTCGCATGATAGGGGCGCCACCTGAATTTTGGGCCCGCTGTCCGGGTGCAGGTCCTTCAAGGCAGTGGCGAACAGCCTCACAGCATCGTACATCAGCGCTACTTTGGTCTACGGAAGGCGGAAGGTGACGGGAACGTCGACAGCGACGGCAACAACGACGTCGACAATAGCGACAGCCATCGCACGAAGGTCAACGGATGGTACGACGGCGTATGGAGTGGAGTCGTAATGGTAAAGTACACACAGAAGGTCAGACAACGGAACAGCGGAAACCAGACGGCAACAGAAGAAGAAAACGGACAAAACAAACAACGCATAACGTGAGAATGAGAAGACTGCTCGAAACGAACTGTCACTGTTAAATTATAAAACTTACGACAGTTGTACCATGCCGCACGAACGGCATTGTCGAAGAAGCAACTCGGCCTCAATCATCTCATTCATGTCACAAGCGATTCTGCAAAGAAAGACTTGTTTGTGCTTCTTATTCACTCGCCTCGAAAACTGTATTATGTAGATACTCTGCATGGGTAAAATCTCATGCCCTATATACTGCCATAAAAATAATTCAACGATTCAAATATTAAGAGGCTAGAGTTATATAAGATGTCTGTATATTAAAAGTCGAAAGTAGGTGAATAAGGGTGACGCTAAGATATGGTTCTCCAGGGTAGGGGAGCTCCGCTAAACTCAACCATTCGAATATGGCACACACATCAACGGCTGAGTACCTAGGGAAATCAATCGAGCATTCTTGCATCAAACTTTTTTCTCTTTAGCCCACTCGCAAGTCTGAGGGCACATTGGTTTTTCCTGGCAATCCAGCCAGAAAATCAAGCGTTAATGTTATTCCGGTGAGTGGTACCAGTCGCTCACGCCATTTTGCCCAGGGTCTCCATGTGCGTAGAGACAAAAGCAAAAAAACAGAAATGCCGGGTACGTACAAACTGAATGAAATGCTGCATGCTCAACACTTGTTTCGAAACCTTTTCCGCCATATCGGTCGAAGGCACAGAAAAAAAAAGTTGACTGCGTGGTATGCCTCAAGAAGGCGCCAAGCGTAACAATGTCTGCTCAATACCATTCCATTCAAAACGGACGTAAGTTTGTGCCCCATCGCAAATTCAATTATGGCGGCCAACTAGTGATGCAATGAAAATGTGTATAATTACTTCTCGTCTGTTCGACCGCACTAATGATAAGAATTGAAGCCTAACATCTAAAGTTGACGAGAACAGACCTGACCATACATTGAACAAATGGTCGAAAAAGTCATGCGTAAACCCATCATATTGTATACGATAGATTCATTTCTCTCTATCGCTATTACCATTATTATTTACTTATATTATATATTTATATACCATTGTTACTATTATGTGTTTGTACAGCAAGCGAACATTAGATGATCCATCAGTTACTTTCGTTCATTCAAAAAAAGCCATTGCTTTCAGCTAATCAATAATAATGATGTTAGTAATAATAGAAGTTAACGTAAGTTATCGACGCCGCCCTTCCGTTTTATTTATTTTATCTATTAGATATACGTGACATTTATTATTAGAGAGTTGGATAATAGAAACGCTGGCTCAGGTAAAACAGAACAATTCATCTCTATAATATATCTCGATCTAGAAAAGATTAGATCTAGTCATACTGCTAACGCTGACAAAACAACAAGCTGATGCTAAAAGTATTTTTTTAATACTGATTACAAAAGAGGCCCAAGTTGTATGTACTAAAGACGGAATATAATTTTGCTCTCTCCAAATGTCATTATACATGAATACAGATAGATTAAATACGAAAGTGCACTTCTGATCTGACAGGCACGTTATGCGCACGACAGACCTTATCCGAGTATTTCCTGTGAAAGACTGTCTGGTGTTAATGAGAATGCTATACACAGGAAGACGTCGTAGGTGAAACGTATTCCTACCCGTTTCAGATTGTCTCGTATTGTTATATAGTGAGCTTGTTATGCATGTCCTACGAGCAGATGTCTCACGACCAATAGCAACAGCAGCAGCAGCAGTAGGCATCACAGTATCAACGACCAGTTAGTTGCATATTGAAATCTTTTCTTTTTTTGGTTTTTGTATTTTTATGTAGCATCGGGAGAGGCTGAGGCAGCATACCTGCGACAAGTTTCACACAGCTCAAGCGAAACGCCGTTTTTGAGTGGTTCGAGAGCCGGTCGAACGAGAGTTCAGCGGAGCACAGGCGTATAGTGCACATACATTGGACCCCATAAAACAGCAAATGTTCGTGATGATACTACGAAATTACGGGGATGGGGCGACACTGCACTACCCAGCAGAGCCTCTTGGCCCTTGGCCGATTCTTCTTTTCCGGGAAACGACGGGGTACCTGAAACGTCCATCTGGTGGGGACGAAGGCAACGGTCGAGAAATGCGAGAGGATACGAAAAAGAACCATGCAGGGTTTTGACTGCAGGAAAGGCTTTCAAAAAAGTAGAGTGGATGCTTTCCTGACAGACAAATCCTTAGGTATTTCATTGCCTTTCCTCGTATTCCTTATGACCTCCACACCAGCAATAGCCAGGCCATCATCTTTTGCGTCTTTTTCTATGAGCTAGTTGAGCTGACGTTTGAGCATCTTCCTGTGCCGCTATTTCCGGCCTGTATTCATACAGCGAGGAGAACGACTGCCACTCAAGCAGGAACGCTACTGCTCACGACTATCCCACTTACCGGGTAAGCTCTAAGCTTCTACTTCCTACCAATGTTGGCCACTGCTGCTGCCGTTGTCAACTCAACCTTGTTGACTAGTCTGTGGAGGGCCTTTCTTTCGTACATGCTTGTTTACGACAGTTGTAGATCACGTGAAGTACGCACTGCCCTAAAGTAAGCGACACATGGACACGTTAACCGCAGGGTTGCGGTGAAATCAAGGGGCATATATAAAGAACAAAGAATCGCGATGCTTGCAAAAATACAAGGAGGACAGATGTAGATGATATTTTTTTGTTTCACTACAGGGTAGTACACCATAAAAAATGGCTCGAATTCCCGAGCGGTTTAGATAGGTATTATGGGGACGGACGTTGTGGAATCTGGATACCTATATCTACTCGGTTAGACCGTTGCTAAAAACGGACATCTCTAGCAATCTTTTTCAGCCTACCTGTCGTTCACTTAAAGTCGACCTATAAGAAACAGTGCAGCCACTGTTGTTGCAGAAGCATGAGAACGATATGCAACTATGTCGTTGCTTAAACCAAAATGTAGTGTGCTTTATATCTATCAGTTCGTTCATGACTACGTTCTCATAAAATAGCAAATAGTCGAAGTGTTCAGAGTTCGTATTTCCTTAGTAGTTCCTTCTTAGTTAAGTTAGTCTGAACTTCTACACAGTTCCATCTTATATAGGAGATGCGCACTTCGCTTCGAGGGATTTTATGGTGCACGACATTTGGAGAAGCTCTACCTATCTGGGCATTGACCTATCAGTGTCCAATTTCCGTTCAAAAAGTTATTACTCCGGCGGTTCGCTTTAAACATTTGCTTCCTCTCTATCGAAAATCCAATTTTCAATGTGATACAATAACATCCAGCTAGTTGGGGGTCATAGGTAGAAATTAATTGTAGACCAATCTAGCTTTCCCTGAATGTGTCACTTTGTTAAACATTCGCCATGTTGTCGATGGCTTCTACTTTTTTGTTTAATTCGTAACACGAATTATAAAGCAAAAATTGACATTTCCCCATATGGACTATGTTTAATATGCTAGTTGATTGATCAATCAACAAATCCAGCGATTTGTACGGGGCCATTTAGTATTTTAGCATTGTAGAACGCCAACCGAAACACACAACTCCCTCTCATCTTAACGAACCCAAAGTTGTTACTGGACAATAATAACGACAATAACAGCAACAACAACAGCCGCAGCTGTACGCGTTGTGGTTGATACAAACGCAGCGTTTTCGGCTAGCATTATGTCTTGTCGTCAACGTCAAAGGGCAACAAATTAGCTTCTAACGACACCCGCTCAAATAATTAGTTTGCTTTTAGACAATGGAATAGAAAACGGTCTCGTCGGGCATGGTATATAGAGAATGGCAGAGAAACGTTCAGATCCAAGTTGGGAAAAAGGTATTGCATTGTGGTGGTGCGTAAGCAAATGTGTGTGCGCGCTAGCATCTAAAGGTTCTGGTGATCTGGATGCTCTAGGGAGATCCCGGTCAGACGAACGAATCCAATAAGCTGAAGGCAGGCTCATAAACCAATCCTCCGGAGAGGTTGGATTTTCGGCGTGGTAACGGGGTCGTATAGTAAAGAAAACTCACACCATGCATTGACGGTAGCGTTCCCACCTGTCTGCGATAAACAGCAACCTTTTCGGTGAAGTAGCAAGCACTGAGCTTTTTCGCTCTCTCTCTTTAGAGATGAGGCTAGCCGCATTGCCCTCAATTCGACTCGCCATGGGGCACGTACGTGAGGAGGTCACATTGCGCTTCTATCGTATGGGAAGGGCTTCTGTATTTCGAGGTTCGAGCTTTCGGCAATGACTGATGTAGCGGCGGCTACAATTGCGCGCGTTGCCCCAGCCCGGTACGCTCTCAAAAATATATCTTTACCCAGAGTGCGGTAATTACGCTTGACGCTGTCGTCAACTGGATGATTTACAACGTCGCAGCATTGACATGTAAACAATACAGTTTAGATCCAATCCAGTTAATACATTACTAATTTTTGCTCCCAACAGCTTTTTTTCTTCTTAATCCTTCGTTTGCTTTCGTGTCAACTGCTGTATACCGTAGGAAAGCCCTTTCTTTGTCACAAGTCTGTTCTTATCAGCTTGTTGGGATTAACAACAGCCCTAACCTTAAGCTCAGACTACTAGGTGAGTAAATCTGATTGCGAACAGCGATATTTTTGGCCCCTTCTAATTCATATTTTTCAAGGTTAATAAGCTTGCGAAACAACCATGGATATGTACGGAAGGTACAACGAGGACTAAAAGAAAGGTGGCCTAATGGCATGATTAATCTGAAGGACGCATGCTATACAACTTTTCAAGTTCCGTCTATTGAATGTGTGTCGAGTTACTAAATATGATTGTCCTAGACTACAGTGTTTGTACTGTGACGAATAATAATAACTATGAATAATACGTGCATAGGCTTTGCAACTTAAAGTAAACCTAGATAAAATTTTAAACTTTACCTCCAGTAAGGTCGTTAGGTATTGCTTCATATGGCTGACTCCCCAGTGGTAAACGTGTCTATGTTAGGTTTTGAACCTACCATGTTTAGTACACAAACATTATAGTTACCACTGCGCTGTTACGGATATCAAAAGAGACCTAGCATGAATAGATCTTCTTTGCTACGAACTTATATTTCCGTTTACGGTTTTGTGTTTCTTATGCTCATGATCTTCAAAGCCCTTCGAGGATTTCTCTAGGTCATTGCATTAAGATAATGTACTAGATCTGGTAGTTCGCTTACAAGTAACTGTAGGAATTTGTTAAATTTAACTTTTCTAACGGGTTCGATAAAAGTGATACCATATTAATGCTTTAGGCAAAGAAACCTAACTTTTTTAGGTATACTGCAGGCTAGTGCGTCGGCATGAACTAATGTTGTATTTTTTAATATTAAAGATTACCAACTTCTACCACTGGATTACCTTTTAGATTCACTAGTCACAAGATTCAGGACTCTTTTTTAATATTTCGATATATTTCACTTTTTTTTCATTTATGAGGTGCTTTTCCTGCCGGATTTCTTTTGCGAAAGATGGCATGGTATATTTAACGAAACAAAGCCAGCTGGAAGCAACTGCTATAAGGCAAAACACATTTTGTCACGTTTTGCCGTCCCCATATCTTGCAATACTTTCTGTTGCTTGCTGATATTTCAGACAGAGAAGGTCTAACAGTATTTGCCTGGCCTTACCACGGTACTGCAATTCTGGTAACTTCAACAACGAGCTAGGCAGAGCATCGACAAACATATCTGACGGATTTGCGATGTTCTAACGCATATATGAAGTATTCTCTCATATGTAGTCCTTTTCCTTCAAGTCCCTTGTGCGAGGGGTTGTCAAGCGCTCAGCTTATCGTAACTGTCAGCCCAGTAATAACAGGAAAATGACAATTTATATATCGCATGTATGGCAGATGATGCGTCACAAGTATACGTAACGGGGTAAGAAGGCGACAGCAAGTAAAGGTAACCACGTGTTATAATACCTAAACTGCATGAAGAACCTGTCGTTTAGCTCGTAGTATTTGCTCAGATCTGCATCCTAGCCCCCGTCATCCTTTCACGCTTTCCTTTTTAATTCCTCTTGTTTTCCTTTCCGTGTTTCCCGTACGTGTAAGCGGCCAAGTCATCTTATCTAATAATTTGATGAAGTAGCACGTCACGCAAAGTCGTGCTGAGTAAAATCGACAATGAGACTTGGAACCTTTACGGGAGAATAGGTCGCACAGGGGCGGAAAGGCTATAAGACGACGGAGCTCGAGGGCTGGGCGGAAAGGGAGAGAAGTAGAGAAGAACGTGATGAGACGACAGATCGCTTGTTGGCGGTAGGCATATAACTCCCTTAGCTTTACTTTTTCTTTCTCTCTATCTCTTTCTCCCACGCGCCACGTTATCTGTTGTCGCTATTGGAAAACAAACGAGCTTTAAGGCAGCCACTGAGAATAACAACAACCTGACACGCTAACACATAGACGTCTGGAGTTAGAATGCACGCTACTAGGCAACAGAGAAGGCGCAAATAAGATAAAGCGAGCATGAGGGAAGAGGAAAGTATTGAAAATGGCACGATCCTATCGGCTTCAACGACGGAACATAGCGGCACGCTGTTGTACGCGACGCTTGTTCGACCAAATAGAATAACTGCATTGCGTCAAGAAACATTACTGTTAATAGTGACGAAAAACGATTGAAAGAACCTACGTTAGAACGTAAGCGACGGGCTAGCCAGGTAAGCGCTGGAAGTTCCTTAGGATAAATTTGACAGAAGTTGGCCCGCATAACTATTAAGCTACTATATACATTGTTCAGTTCTGCTACTTGTGAGTAAAATTTATGCCATATAGTTGGAAGTCAGCGACCCCCATCTGCTTGTGGGAGATTTCGAATTTAACATCACCAAGTATCGAGAATCTACTGGACACAGCCCTTAAAATGTTAGACTCTTTAGCTGGTATATTTGAAAATATTTTTTCTTTAGGTGGTCATCTTTGAGATCTTCACCGATCTAGAGAATGTCAACAATTAAGTCCTACATTTTCGTAAAATGTTTTATCTATATACTACGTCCATACAGTGGATATACAGTCTTACACGGTCTGTACAGTTAACTCTAGACATCACACCGCAATTTAATAAGGCAATCCAAAAACCGTATATATTAAGATTTACTACGAGATCGATGCCCAAGCTTAACCATAAAGCGATTTTTGTCCTCAACTGCCCGTTAATGATACAGAATTGAGATACTGAGTTGAAAGTTCAATATCTACTTTGAAATGGTTGATATATCGGTTGTCGCATATGGGTAACGCTTTTTAACATGCAGAATCCGTTACTGTGTCCGACATTCGTATCAGGGTGGGCTAGGCAGTTTGCTTTCCAGCTACATATCATACTCCGCGTGCTGTATGTACGTGTACGCTTGTTTGCACGCTAACTTGACTCGCGTTCGTGCATGTTTGCACAATGAATGGGGGGTGTGGACTGCATACATCACTGACATGTTGGTTGCACTACCTAATAATTAGCTTTGAGGATTTCGAAGAATGGAGGCTCGGCCTGGCAACGAGAATAAAGAAGTAATGGATGGGAACAAATAAATTAACATGCATCATTGCTCTAAAGCTAGCCAAAGGAGCCAGAAAGCCGGGTTTTGTTTCACTGTAGCTATCCTATCCTACGAACTCATACACCTAAAAGCTGTCTTCGAGAGCCAAAAACGTTACGCAACGGAAGAACCCCTGCCTTGCTACAAGAAACTACTTTGGGATGCTAGTAACGGCGTCCAATAACAGGCCATTTGGAAGAACTATTAATCTTAGCTAAGGCACAAATTAAAAACATTATATAACACATCATAAATTTGAAGATTGTATAAACGGTTACGTTTTAGCCATGCACACTCAACGCTGGCCATGCCACTTAATTTATATACTTGCGATGCGCTTGGGCTTGCGTAAGCTCATTTCATTTAAAATTACATACACACGGGCAGACCGGCATTTTTCAAGGATTGCCCGCAACATTTCAGTGTTAATTGAATTAACAAGGTGTCAGCAGACTCCAAGGAAAAAAACTTCTATTGGCAAGAGCATACGCATTAGACCTAGCGACCGATCTAACATATCGATCTGTTTAAGAACAGCTTGCAATGGGATCGTCCACACGTTAGGTGACATTGCTTGATTTACCTACATGGGCGCGCACCCCTTGACTGACTTCCTTATGACCCAAGGTCTCTAACTTTAATCGGATCGTTCATATGCAGATTGACGGCAAGTCTTGTGTTTAATTAAGTACATTATTACTTCAATTACGTACAGTTACAAGGCTTTCCACGCTCATCACAAAATCGCCTGGATGACTGTTTTCGACTGTTTCCAACAGTGGTTACTGCGATATGAGACGATTCCGTAGTAATAGAACAGGTTTTCTACTAGTTCAACTGGAAGTATTTACTTACGCTTTTCTCTTTCCAAAATTATAGAATGAAGGGCAGCGTTGCATAGTACTTACCGTTAGATTCTTCACATGCGGAAGTGATCGCGAGGCAGAGGCGATAGTAGCATGGAAAAAAAGGTACACAGAAAACAGAAAGACAAGTGTTTCGTTAGCGCGACAACGAAAGTATTTAGGCTTAGCAGAATAGAGCCTGGCCGTACTCTCGAAAACAAACCAATGGAGAACAATATGGTCATCCGCCTACCAATGGATTACTCCGCCCCTGCTCAAGCAGTTCCTAACTACACAGAAAGAAACAAAGGACTGCGATCTCGCGTACGACTTTAGGTCTATGCCGTCCCAGACCCTCTCATTCTGACTCACGCTTTGATGTTCTAGCTCTTGCTGCTGGCTACCTGCTAAGACTACGTTACTGGGGGTATGCATGAGAGATGAAAAAAATTTGCAGCGTTCAGCAGTATATTACATTTATATACCGAAGACCAAGGCAGGAACTACGTAGAATCATGGCGGCGTTCCTTGCGAACCATCACCTCTTAGAAATGATGTTTCTAAACAGACCACCAGCACTGGCACCGTAGTTACCCTAAACGAATCGTAAAGGGATTTGCCGCCTGGTTAGTCAGTGACGCCTAATTATCAACGATAAGCGCCAGCGGCTATAGACCGCTGTGGAGCGAAGGCCATGGCGATCATACTGGCAGTCTGGCTCGCCGTCCGTCCCATCAAAAAATAGTAGCGAGCGAACTAGAATCAGTCCGCTTGTAGAAAAACTGTGCTCAAATTTATTGTGCGTTTGGTAACCGAGGACCGGTCGTTTGCCGGTTAAAAACGCCGATAATAAAATCGCTTACGACCGAAGTCGGTACCGTCATCCTCGCGGACTTCAACATCTATAAAGCCTACGTATATATATACATCAGGCGATAACTTTTTCCTCCTAAAAACTTCGCCATTTTGATGAACTCGGTGTTCTCTGACGAACTCACGTTGCCAATCATTCAATTCGACAATTGTGGATCTTGCGTGCAGTTGTCGTACGATGCAGTAGAAAGCCCAAGGTTGTATAAAAGTTAGAAAAAAGGCATCGTGGAGAAGAGAAAAAATCTCAGACATTTAACGTGAAAGCATCTAGTTGGTAAGTCGCTAGAATATGAAGCACCTGTGGGTGCACAAGTGGTTGTTAGGTAACACAGGATCAAAATGGGTACGAAATGCGATACAAGCAGTACATATACACAGAACTTGAGCTTTAGTTCGTAGCTTGCATGCACCAAAATTGTCTTCTGAAAACCTCAACAGAGCTGAGTTGTGATAAAAAAAAGCTAGAAACTTGACAGGTATGACGAACACGGTACGCTATAATTAAAAAAAGCGTTCGAACTATAAATACAAAAATATTGGTCGGTTTATCGCGTTACACATTAAACGATGATGTTAGAATGACAGCCATCTAGAGAAAGATCCGTTGACTGTCTAAATCGTCATATGAATTGATGATACAAATCTAGAAACACTGGCTTAATAATATGTGCTCGCTTTATCCATACTACAAATACAGAGACGCGTTTGACGGCGAGCGATCAGAAGAAATCATCCAATTACGTTTTATCCTGAAAGAGCGCAAGAGCCGTAAATAACAGTTTCGAAGAGCGTCTAACTCGCTGATGTGTTTGTGGGTCGAACAAAAATAAGGGCAAAAAAAGACGACTATCGTCCGTGTAGTAGAAGCCAAGCTAATGCAAGTCTTGGAAACGTGTACGCGAAAAATGATGAGCCGAGAGTCCTACACTCGCAGAGTTAGGGCCATATTTTAAGCGAGTTTCCTCAAAGGAGAGTAAATGTTTCACGGCAGAAAAACCGTAAAAATCTCCAATATCCTGTGCAGCGATGGACAAGGCCACACGGTCCTCCACGGAAATCACACTAAGCGGGCAGGTTCTCAGAAAACTAACCCGCACTCATTCGTCCACAGGTGCATTGATAAACCCGTACATATATACACGGGCAGAAAAAAACACCATTTCCTATAGCAAGCCCTCCCATATCAAGTTAGCGCCCATAACCGTACAGGTAGTCGACGCTGCGAGTGGCTAAAGCACACATGTTGGCTGCGCTTGAATACAAGACCAGACATCTATAGAGACACGCAGATTCCCAGTAGCTATTATACATAAATTGGAATTGACGACGAAACTTTAGAGGCTATTTCTTTAAGGTACTCTCTCGTCCTATTTCTATCTTTGTATATCTTTTCTGCGCTCAAACTCTACCATCTTCACTTAATCTGACCAATCTGCTGCTCGTTCAGGGGCACTGCCTCTGACACTTAGGACACAAAATAATAATGGTATAAGCCACGTCATAATGTCTGGTGTCACTGCAGCTAAGTAAGGGCAGGGTGCATTAGCCACTTAAAATAACAATATGTCTAAGTATGATTTAACCTTTTAATAACATAGGCACGAATAGGAGGAACAAGAGGAAACAATAAAGCGGGCCTAGGATCTAAGCCAAGTTCGCGTGTTGCTAATCTTAATGGTGTTGCCAGTAATACTGTTGTTGACGCTATACAAACATCCGCTAGGAATCTGTATGGCCTACTAGAAGGGTTCTAAAATGGACCGTGTTGGTCTACCGCCTGTTTGTCGCAATGGCTTTGCTTTAAAAAGTTTTATTTACAGCAATGAGCCTGATTGAGAAATTAGTATTGCGTAAACGATCCGTTTTATTTGGAGCAATATATATTTCGTATGGTAGGCAGTCTTGTGAAGCCAACTTTTACGCACATAATGAAGAGGATGGTGATCGTTGAGGTATACAGACCAGATCCCTAGCGGCCAATTTAATCTATATTTGTGAGGCTCGTAAGCGACAAGGAAGGTATTGGCCTCTCAAACCGAAAGAACCGCATGTCGTGTAACAGAGCCGACTGCTATCTGACGGATTAACGTTGTCGCTATACTAGTCAGTCTTCGAAAGCTTCGTGTTTCCTCGCGGAAACGTCCTTCTTTGTGACTCACATAGAAATACACTATCACGAGCTGGCACTCATGAAACCCGCATAAACTAACAGGTGCAGAAATCACGAAAGCTATCGCCGCGTTTGTCTTTTTGACTGTGGTCCGCAGTTACGGAGCTAACCAATTATTTCCTGACTAACTCAAGGGAAATGAAAAGATAACGACCAAAGTCAGCTGTTTGACGCCTTGGCACCGCCAGGGCATTACATTCTTGGTGCTCAAGTTAAGAAATTCTCCACCCTGCCGCTCGATTTTCCGCTAGCTTTATTCGAGTAGCAAAGACTTGCTCCTATCATGAACAGCTTCCCGCCTTACGATCTTTGCTATTACACCTCTGTGGGCTCTAAGCTTAGACTGTGAGGATCATAAGTTGCCGTTTGTTAAGAAATTAGCTGCTTTTCCGCATTGCGTTTTCCTTAGAGCTGCGGAAACTCGTTGTCGTGGTGTAATTGTTCTTTTCTTCTTCTAGCTAATTCCAGTATTCAGGGGTATCCCTTCGCAGAAACTCTACATCGCCGAAATTTCCTTTCTGCAGTCTTAGTTTTCGCGACATATGCTGTTTCTTGTATGTTTGACGTGGTGCTCACCGACAACCGGCTCCCGCCATCAAGAAAGGTGGGTGGGTCTTTTAATAAAACCCTTGCTGCTCGTCTTCGCTTGTCATATCTAGCCAAACACCTCTCAAGTCCAGAAGCAATACGCTACTTTATTTCTTTCGTGGCACCAATCTAGAAGGCGGATGCACCTTACGTCTAAGTAGCAACGGGCTTACGGAGGCCAAGGACTGATACGCGAAACGGATATCTGAAAACTTCAGTTGCTCGAAAAGGGATGCGAGAAATACAGACTTGACCACCTGGATAGACATAAATCTATCCCTAAACTTAAGGGCAGAGAGAAAAAAAGAGAAATAGACTGTACCATGTTTTGAAGCTATTTTAGCACTTAAAAATGGTTCAAAGTTCCATGAGTTGTCTTACCAGCCTGTCGCATTTGCTGAGAGCTGCTTGATTCGTCAGCCGACCGGCCGGCTTTACTTTCTATGCCTGGGCCATCATTTTAGCTGAGTTCATTTAAGACACGACTGTAAGGCTTAATGGCTAAAGCCTTATCATGGCACCACTCTTGCGGTTGAATACCGTTCCGACTGTGTAGTCGGACGGCCTTGGACGGAGTGTATGCCAACTTTACCTTGCAACTTTTCTCCCAGCCCGTTCAGACTGGGTACATGTTGACTCTGAGATCTTACTCTGACTACACAAATGGCTCTCCCTATACCGCGGCTAATTTTTGTTGTGACTAACGAACCCTTTTGGTGTAAATCTGCATACTGCCAAATGTTCGAAATCAAAATATGAAAAAATGGTTGGCATAGGCTTCTCTGGAATCGATGCGATGCGCCATAAAACGCGTTCTTAGAGGACCTCGCGTAATGATGCTAATAGACCTAGTAGCTATGGTCGGTTTTTTGTTTGTTCGATAAGCTATTTTACCTTGTAGAAATCTTGAGCACCGGTGTTGAAGTTGCTCTGTACCGATGAAGACTTCTTGCTCGAGAACCTATGTCGCCGTTGGATCCAATCGCGTGCGACCTCGTCGATTTCCTTCGATGAGAAGTCGATCAAACGAAAAGCAGAAATATTCGTCCCGCCATATTGGAAGTCCTCGGTATCTATGGTGTGCGCATCTAGCGAAGTGATGAAATAGTTATGATATTCGGACATCATGTCCACTTGCTGAGCGTGTTTTAGCACCTGCAGTACATTAATACATAGATACACATAGAAATGAAGAGGCGAAACTTACAACAGGCATGTAATACGTAGATATAGATGAACGAAAAAACGATGGTGGGACAAGAGGCGCTGACAAGAGCCTAGTTTCTAGTCTTGCTTTGGTTTATAACTGAAATAAACTGGAATGGATCGTTTTGAAAATGAATTTTAAACTGTGGTACTTAAGGTCGCAGCACAGGAAGAACTATGCACATCAGTATATTAAATGTTTCATAGAGCTGTTGCATCCTGTTATGCAACAAGATCCTGTTATTGTCTAGAATTCGTGTTCAGAGGCTGAAGGAATGAGTGAGCCAATTAGTTATTGTCGGAGGAGTAGAAGGTATATTTCTTGACCCTGACTGTGAGTATCGGAGTATGTATCGGCGCGGCCTACTTAGCCAAGGATCAAATAAAAAATTGGCTTTAGGGGTACGGCTGTAAAGACAACTGTTTTCGGCAAAATTGGTACGAGGTGGCGTACATCTTCATTTCATCTGAAAACGATTTGTTCCGTGTAAACAAAAAATTCTCCTCCTTGCGTCCGGGAATCAGTTCACTGCTGGTGTTGCTTGCAAAATTTGTCCCACAACCTGCCGTCGGTCGCAATTATTACCGTCAACAGGAACACTGTGCCTAGCTAATTCTGGAAACCTAAACTAGAAGTAGCAGTTTTCCATTACGTATGATTTTGCGCAGTTACTACACTTTAGATATCGATTGATGCTGTTCCATTGACGGAAAATTATGTAATGATTAGTACGCCATGTTCGTAACATGCGTGGCTCCTTTCGGTACGTTTCGCCAGACACGCGCACCTTTTGGCTAGTAAACCTGCTACATACCGTGTAAAGACTCCTTATCGGTACATCGAGTACAATATTTTTGATTCCTGTCTTGCCAATATCCTTAAGGGTTTTTCGATATTCGGTTCCAATTTCGAACTGACGCACCGTCACTCGGTTCTCCTTCATCAGTGTAGCGTCCTTCAGTATCTCTTGCAAACGTACTAGAGCTGAAAATTAGACAATGCAAAAGCAAATACAAACAACAGGGCTAGTAGGAATTTTAGAAATGTAAAGCGTCAATAGTATTCACCCATTTTGAAAAAAAAAAGAGTATAAAGGCGCAGTTCCACGAGCAATGACGACAGATTTTACAAACAACGCTATTAAATACCAAAATGAGATTCGTGTTTATTTAAAATGTAGATATACACTACATATGACTAACCAACTTGCCAATTTAATCATGTGTTCATTTGCTATGTGTCTGGTGCCCGATTGCCAACTAGATGCTATCACTGTCGTTGTAAATTACATCATTTCTATGGTAACAGACCGTCGCTCTTTGGGCAGACAGAAATGCTTGTAGTGAGGGTAAAAGCGTTTGGGAGTTTATACGTACGGTAGTAAAGTCCACGCTGTACTCCAGTATAGCTAAGCCCCAATTCGTTCAGTGTATCAACTGGAATTTAGGAAGCAAGGTAAACCTAACGAGGCTAGCGCGTGTGTTTCCTTATCAACTATTGATAATAAAAGGTAGTTTCCGCGTATCGTGCCTAAATTGATCTCTCGTACGATTCACGAGAACATCATGTATGATTGATGTTCCACTGAGCCATGTCTAGCGGCTTGGAAAATCGCAGGGTGCATTTACTCGGATTTCCCGTCTCAAAATTTCATCGTATGTTAACAAAATCCCATCACAACCTAGATACACAGTATATTATCCTTCGAATAGGAAATGTAGAACCCTCGATTATCTACTCTGATCCAAGTTGCACCCAGGGCCTCCCTCCCGTCTGTACCGACTTGTGGCAACCAAAGTATAAGGCTGTGCCCTCCTTGATATCTTACATAACAAAACTTATTTAATAGGTTCTATTATTTGCTTGACTAAACCGATAACAAGCATTATGCCCTCTACTATTGTTCATATAAACCCATTATTGATAAAATAGCACACGCTATTCTTCTATAGCTTTTTTGATATCACACGTAAACCGCAGGCGGTCAATGCTTTTCAATGCAAAAACGCAAGTACACGGCCTGTTCTAATTTAATCTCGTATATATATATTTGCCCTCTATAATGCCACTCAATTATGTAGAAGAATTGTTCATTGCTTGGCTTCCTTGTCGCGTTCGGACGAAAGGGCCCAAACACGATATAAGGGTTCAGTTCTCCCGTTTGTTTTCACTCAATTCAATCTAGATGCCCGGATCGGTTCCCAAACATACAACATATGCATTGTATTATAGTCGCGATCGTAAATGGTCGCAGCATTGTTTATCCGAAATCGGTTCCTAATATTGAGAGCCTTTGTGGGCGGCTGGAGAGATTATCAAGAGGTCGGAAGGCCCCGATGTGCATTGGATGGCCTCTAGTGGCAATGTATTATCCTGCGCAGTCCTATGGCATGCCACGAATCCATGTCATGCCGTTACCAAGAATGGGTCAGGATGCGAATCTGTGGAATGCCAACCAGTGAAGTCAGTGATTGCCAACAGGCTGCTAATTTCTCTCTGTTTTTGCGTTTGCAGAAGGGACGCTTAGCTGGCCAAGGCATGCGACACAACAGGAAATGCAAAGTGTCATTGAAAGCGTATTAAATGTAATACGCAATGGGCCTACGCACACGGCGGGGGGGACAGTTGAGAAATATGGAATCGACCCTTTTCCCTCTCGCGAAACATTCATCGCAAAGATGGCTTAATTCATCTGCTGCTGTCCTTGATAGTACTAAAGATCCTATTAGAAATTAGCGCCACACATAAAAGTAAATCGGTTGTGAAGAAGCAGGCACCTGCATTCTCTAATCAAACCCTTACGGGATCTAAGACAGTGATCATTCGGGGCTGGAAGGCAGCCAGGCTTGGAATAACCGAGCGATGAGTAGCTAGTTCGTAATTCCCGGTCATAGAAAAAATGATACAAGGAATAGACAAAAAGGAAAACACATGAACTATGTCGGCTGTATATACCACACGTCTAATTGAGAGCGTAAAGTAGCCCCAGTTGGGGGTGACAGAAGCGTCAGCAGTTGTAGTAGCAGTGCTATTGGATATTATATATATACCTAATAGCTTAGTCTGTGCCTTCATGTGTCTCTTTTTTTACATCAACCACGTTCCAAAGACGTACTGCCCACACGAAGACATCACGTATGCGCGTGGTTCTAGCCAGCTTATTCGGTGGTCCTCTCCATATAACCGCTTTAACAGTCCTTACGAACGTGCCTCTGGCCAACGCTAAGGATTTTTCGAGCGATGGAAGCGCAGGCACACAAGGAGACATTTTCTGTCGACATATGCAACTTCACCTACCTAAGTTTACTAACTCCCACCCCTATCAGAAGAATGAACTGCACCCAGATAGACCGTCAACAGTAGGCACAGCCGTCTGAGAAGATGAATGAGGTGAGTATTTTCGAACAACGATGTCCACTCATATGCCTTGAAATGCGACCTATTTTACACCGACACAGAGGAATTTAGCCTTGATGGACGATTGCCTGTTAGATTGAATTGGCTTCAATACTATATTAGGAGCTAATATTGCAAGTTTTTTTTCTATTATAGGGGCGTGGGCATGTTGCGGGGCTTGGAGGTGTGGTCTTTGGACTTTGGGCCGCTAGAAACTTAGCCATCCGAGGCGCCGCATAAATGGATACGCCTTATCAATAGGTTTCTAGTAATTCACGGATAGGCGGCGCTGAGCTTAGCAAAACTGTCGTTACTTATAATGACATATTGCTAGTACTGTGTTTAAAGCACACATTCTAGACGGGATATGGCATTTTTTGCTACAAGTTCTGACGCTGTCGCTTTATCGCGCCGTCAAGTTACTTATAAAATTATTTCACAAACGCAAAGCGGCGGATAAGAAAAAAAAAAGGGGAAAATTGTAATAATTATATGTCTAACGTCTTAGCGAAACTCGAGCATCGTCTGTCGCTTTACCATGGCCCTGCCATGGTCGATAGATTGAATTTCAGTCATAAAAAACAATAACGAAAAATGAAGCTATTGTCGCAATATTCCCCCGCTGTATTTTAATATCAAGAATTGTAAACCTACTTATTTAAGATTGTTCTATAAATCTTTACAGCTTTCTATCTTCTCAGTTGACGCAGCGTTGAACTTATACTGCTTCGTCAAATTTTGGTTTAGCAATGTGCCCTGTGAAAGGTCTACGGTCGAGCTGAAAATGCCCTTTCTTTGATTCGTCATTTCTGAGGACACCAGTTGAATCCGAATCTCTCCACCTCTCTCTTTTCACATGCTTTCGAGTGTCCTGCATCTTTAGCAGGAGCTGGTGGCGTATCTGCCGCTAGTGGAGCGCGGCCTAAGCTTGCAAAGCCCGGTCATTTCCGACGTCTCAGCCCTCCTCAACTGATAACAGGCAAAGCCGGAAGAAGTCAGTTGCCTGCTTGTCTTTGTACTGACTAACCCTCCTATCCTTCTTTCCGCAAGCGCATTTGCGCAGCCACACATCTAAGAAGTTGTGCTGAAGATAACGACGCAACTTCATGCCAGCTAGATGTATTAAAAGGAGTGACCACAGTTGTACTAATCATCGCACTCGTACTACGACGATAAAGAGCTCGCGTAGAAGTCTCGCATAAACGTGCACGTCGGAGTGTTTTTATAGTAGGCATCGAGTGATCCGTGACGCGAACGTTCATCTTTCAACCGTGGGTGCTCGTTGCGGATATTATTGGCTTTCGACGTGCCGCGCCACGCGCGGCGATATCGTCGGACCACTGAATGTAAAATTTCAGTCCCTTTTCAAGAACGTACAAATAACACTCGGGCAGCGTAACTCGCGCTACTCGATGCTATTCAGTAACGAACCTAACCTAGTGCTCTGCTGTTTCCTCTACAATTCTTCCTTCTTGTTTTGTTTTCGGCGCTTAACAGCAAGTCGTTTTCATACAACGATGCAGCATAGATTATACAGTGACAGCTACTTTTCCAAGACCCATCCTCGTTCCATGGCAGGTCGTTCTCAGTTGTACCCTGTACTTTACTTTAATGTTCTGTTCTCTATATAACGAATACAGCGGAAAGCAAAAGAAAAGGAAAAAGGAACGATGGACGTAATTTAGCCATCAAAAACAGATGCCGCCGTCGGAACCAGCCGCTCCAACTATCAAGTCTTTTAGGGCCCGGAGTGGGACAAGAGAGCAACACTTCCCAGCGGGAAGAACATAGAGACCTAACTCCACCTCTCTTTGTTTCGTGTGCAGAGAGCAGCATCAGCAGCTGCACGACAGAACCGCTACTCTTGTCAATCGCTCAAAAACGACACAGCGACGATGTCGACAAGATATTGACGTAGTCATTTTCTTCGGTTATCTTCCCATTACCCTTATACTAACTGAATCCCTAGAACGCAGGATTTAACCGGATCCAACAACCGGCCTGCACCTCATAACAACGAGAACGACAATGGCAACTCTAAGTAACAGCAAACGAAAACCGAATGCCTGGCGCCAACGGGCGCCGTACTCGGTAACTGAAGGAGTGGTCAGGAATACACTGGCAAGTCAATGCCGTACATGAGGAGCGATTGATGATGAAACAGAAGAGATTTTAACGTAGCATCTGTGACACGAAGTAGGCGGGCCGAATGTTCATACGCTGATGTGGTTAAATGAAAAATTTAGTGGAATCAATACAGCATAATTTGCAGCACCTGGCTTTTCGAAAATTTTCAGTGTGCGTACATGCACCGTCGTGCGTTTACTGCACGAGTCTTTCTCTGACACGATGTAAATGTGCTTGCTGTCCCGTCACGATTAATTTTACGTAGCATGTATAATACTAAACAAACACGGTATTTCTTTTAAAAACTCTGAGTATCTTCCGCTATCTTTATTTCTTCTAACGCTAATTGCCCCAGCCCAGTTAGATTCGTGCCAGCCAACATAGAGAACAACGCAAGAAGTAATCAAATTTATAGTTGAAGCAAATAGTTTTATATTGCGGAAACGGGACAAACAATAGGC